GTACTGAAAGTCCTAGAATAATTTCGTGAATACCGAAAACCGACTAACGTTTTCTGAATAAAATAACCTGAGAATTAGTTTCGTTTTCTGAATAAAATAACCTGAGTTTCGTCAACTAAGATACATATTTTTCCTTTGCACAGAAAAAAAAAAAAGATACATATTTTTCCATCATATATACAAATACCAAAATTCTTTTTAAAATATATATATAAATATTGCTTTCCTGTTATTTGTTTGATAGGAAAAATAACTCATCATATATATTATTCTTCACTATGTAAAAATCATCATATCGTGAATATCAAAAGTTCTGGGGTGATTTCGTAAATATCAAAAGTTCTGAAATATCTACCAAAAATTCCAAGGTAACTTTGAAATACCGATTTGTTTCGTAAGTACTGAAAGTCCTAGAATAATTTCGTGAATACCGAAAACCGACTAACGTTTTCTGAATAAAATAACCTGAGAATTAGTTTCGTTTTCTGAATAAAATAACCTGAGTTTCGTCAACTATGATACATATTTTTCCTTTGCACAGAAAAAAAAAAAAGATACATATTTTTCCATCATATATACAAATACCAAAATTCTTTTTAAAATATATATATAAATATTGCTTTCCTGTTATTTGTTTGATAGGAAAAATAACTCATCATATATATTATTCTTCACTATGTAAAAATCATCATATTGTGTAAATAAAATCATTGTGTAAACAAACTCAAAGAATCAAAGAAGCAAAGAATAAAAGCAAACGAGTGTTAAGCAATGACTGAATCAGTTAAGTAAGCGATATATCAAAGAATAAAAGAAGTACACCAAGAAGGATGCAAGCAATTGAGTAAGCAACGATCAAATAAACAAAGAAACAAAGAAGGAATAAAGTGAGCAAGTTAAACATGTAAAACAATCAGAGAAAGAAACAAGCAAGCAAGTACATAAATGAAAATAAGCTAATGAAGCAAGCAATGACCTCAGCAATAAATCAAGAAAGCAAATGTATGCATGTGAATGTATGCATGAATGAATGTATGCATGTATGAATGTATGCATGTATGGATGTATGGATGTATGGATGTATGGATGAATGTATGCATGTATGAATGTATGGAGATTCAAGATATCACACTTTCGAAGGGATATGTTGTTTAGGATGCAGATTTTCTGGGTTCGGGAAGCTGAGTGTGGAAGAGACTGATCAAGTACTCTTTGTGCTTTGTGGGCAGACTTGCTTTATCTCCTTTTTCAGGTTGGTACTGGCTCTTATTCGATGATTGGCGAATCTAGTCCTCTAATTGATCTCACTGGTTCAAATGGTCTTCAAGTTTCTGGTATATCTTGGCTGGCTAGTAATGTCTCTCTCAGGTTTATCCTATTGGCAGTCACTGGCTCTTCCCAATCTGATCAGTTTCTTTGGAGAAATTTACTTAACCCTGGTTTCACAAAGAATTCTGAAACATGCTTTCCATCAAATCTACTTAGGGTGCTTGTTCGTGACATATACCTTCAAGAGACCGTCTTCATCGATGAGGTTTGTTGGTTCCTACCGCTTGTCTCCTATGTGCCACAGATTTAGAATTCATAACCAACAACTCGAAAATGGTCCATTGGCTATGAAATCTGCTACTGCATAAAAGTAAAAGAGACAATAATTCCAAGCTATAAATATGAGAAAAATCGAAATACTAACAGAAGAAAAAGGTTGAAGACATACCTGGGAGGATGATTAAACTTAAGAAACTAGAAGAAGATAACAACTCCTCTAGAGATGGAAAATCAAGGTCCCCTGTCTTTCATTTGAATTACCGTTTCTACAAGTCGGTTTCTTGCTCCGGTTCTTGGCTTCTCTTTTGTAACTACATATATTCTACAAATCAGTGGATTCATTGATATCTCTGGATACAAAATATTTTAATGAAGAGGCCCCATCATAACCAACAGACAATACGAAACTAATAATTCTATGTATAGGGATTCCTTAAGAAGATGATAATAACTTACAAGTGATCATATTATTTACAGTAGGAACACTCGGTGGAATATCTGATGTTTAGTGTCTTCTTCAACTGTTAAATGTTAGATTAATCAAAAACTACATGATTAATGTTGAGGATGGATACGAGTTAATAAAGCAGGTATCTTTCGAATGTTTTTACCTTGACAATTGCATCCAATATAGCGTCTAGATACACGTCTAAATCTCCTACAAATCTCCTGGGGACACTAATGCAAAAATGTAAGATATTAATAAGTATCATAATCATGAAGATTGGAATCTCTTATCTAAATAAGCAACCGGAATAATTCATAATAGAAAGAAGAATTCACATCAGTATGATGCTAGCTTCTTCCGGAAGTTTTCAAAATGACCACTACAGTTTACACATTCTTCTTCCGGAAGTTTTCAAAATGACCACTACAGTTTTTGGACATATAGACACACTAAGGTGAAAATACAATATTTACACATTCTTCATATAACAAGTTTGGCTTGGATATGAAAATCTCAATTGTTAATAGAAGAAAACTTGTGACAAATGGCCTAGATAGCACGTCAAAAGTAGTTGTTACCTTCCTCTACATATTTCCAATACTCGGCTTCATGCTACTTCACAATCCTGAACAAGGTTTAAGCAACTTAGTTATAGAAAAAAACCCTTGGAAAAAAAGATTTGAAGTTGGAGCAAGAACATGCCTGAAAAGCACAGTCATCAATTCTGGTCCTGATACTGCAGTGGAGAAGTATACTCTGTTTTTTTATGAGTTTGTGGTATCTTTCAACCTGATCCGACAACCAAACGCAAGTAAGAATTTTAAACTGAAAGAAGAGAAAACATTGGTGTCTATTGTCTAACCAGCGCAAGGAAGTCTTTGTGCTGAGCATCTTCGGAATCAGTAGCTCCATCCAGTATTATACTATCTGAGGACCCACTGTCAACAAATTTTTATACACTTAAATTAATCTCAAGCTTCAACTGGATGAGACGATGCAGAATAGTAACAAAATTCAAGGAAAAAACGATATTACTCAACTTTAGCTGATCTTCTCTTGTTCTTTTTTGTTCAAGCTTCTTCCTTGTTAGAAAATACACATTTGTTAGCTAAATCCAAAATATTAGCACAGAGAATTTTAACTTAGTACAGGAGAAACAAAGACAAATTTCTGAGAAAGATCTGAACGACCAGATTAGATAAAGAACAAGAGCATTAACTTGGTGTAATTCTCTTCTCTTGTTCTATTTTTTTCAAGCTTCTTCCCTGTTTAAATACACATTAATCAAATCAGCCTGAATTCCCCATGCTTCACCATTCAAAAGACAAAACCCAAATTTAATTGTACTCACCATTGACGTTTGTTTAGGAACTGTGATGAATCTTACCTGAACCTCCAGTCGAAACATACTCTCATATGAACAGAAACAAGCAAGCAAGTTCATAAATGAAAATAAGCACAAGAAACAAACAAGAACAAGTTAATAATGTCACTAAATAAGCAAGCAATGACCACAACAATAAATCATGAAAGCAAATATGCATGAATGTGTATGTATAAATGTATGAATGAATGTATGAATGTATGAATGTATGCATGTATGAATGTATGAATGTATGCATGTATGGATGCATGTATGTATGCACACATGACTGTCTCGAGGCAGAAGTCCGCTAGTCGTTTTGCTGTGAGTCTGCTTACCAATTCAGCTCTTACCAATCTGATCAGTTTCTTTGGAGGAATTCAGTTGATGCTCCATGTATCTTTCAGCTGCCAAAAAATGTAGAGATGAGTAAGATTTTGAAACACTTCAGAAGTATATAATTTATCATCTACAATTAATGGACTGTTACCTGAAGATTGATCTCATAAGACGCAACAAAAGCTGGAAAGAAAAAGTCCTCAAGACACTCCGATAACCAGAGACTGGTGCCTGGGAAAGTGAAAAATAATGATAGAATCAACATAATTTGCAGAGGGTTGGTAAAACCGAACTCACAAAGTAAAGCTCGGTATCTGGAATTTTAATCTCGGTAACTTACATCGAAGTCATTCAACACACTATTTTGAAGGATTTCAAGGAAATAGCTCAAAAGGATGCTGCCTCAAAAGCTTGATGAACATAGCTCACGTGATCAATCTCCTGGTAATCAATTAAGATTAAACACATCAAGTAAGATAGTGGAAATATTCTCACTTTCATACCATAAGGAAAGGACTTTTCAATTAGGAAGTGATGAAACAAGACACAGAAATACTGTCCATGCTACGGCGAAAGGTCCTGCTTCAGAAGTGTTGAGGCTTGAGACCATCTCTTGAACCTTAAGAAAAGACACAAGTGAGACCTTATAAGGAAAATAGAACATTTAGGCAATATTGACAGATATACAGGAGAAAGTAGAATTGACAAATTGTTGGTTTTGTAGAAACTCACTTGTAGAAAGTTTTAACTTTATATGTACAGAAATACAGACCATGCTAGGGCGAAAGGTCCTGCTTCTTTTACTTCAGAAGTGTTGAGGCGTGAGACCATCTCTTGAACCTTAAGAAAAGACACAAGTGAGACCTTATAAGAAAAATAGAACATTTAGGCAATATTGACGGATATACAGGAGAAAGTAGAATTGACAAATTGTTGGTTTTGTATCTATCTGTAGAAAGTTTTAACTTTATATGTACAGTGTTCCTCGCGAATTAATTAAACAAACCTGAAGGGTTCTCCGTCGGGAACCATTTGTAACAGATTCTCCATGTCCGACGTTTTTACAAAAATCACCTGCAACTGAATTTCAATGCAGAATGTTGTGCTTCAGCTGACACAACTAGCTTTCTTAAATTATAAGAACCTGAAAGAATCCCCTGAAATACAGCACTTGTAAGTAACTTGAACGACTAAGTAGAAAGAAAGGTTGAAAAAAATACATACTTGGGAGAAAGAGTCAACTTAAGAAACAAGAAGATGACGTACAACCATTTCAGAGCTCCATTGTGATATACCTGAAATAAGCGTAACGTTGTATGATATGTACACGGCACCATATGACTCCGATATGAGAACACAACACAAACTTTAACTTACTATACAAGTGCAGAACCACTGAAATCAATACCCAAGTATGTTTCTTGCTCCAGTTTTGTTTTTTTTCTCGAACTTCATCAATCATGTTTTTAGCTACAGTTTGCGGGCTGAAAAATTCAAAACGGAATACAAATGAAATGATGTAAAAAAGACCTATCCAATACACTTTATCATGAAATTAGAAAATGGAAACTTACAAGTGGGTTCGTGACTGGCTGATTTTCTTGTTTTAGTCCATGATATACAAGTTCTTCCAGAACTTTTGCCACTGCTTATAGGTTTTAGAAATTAAACGATTAGTGTTCAGACTAATACACTTTTTTCTTTGCTTAGTTCAATTGATTCAAAACTAGTTGAGACAGTTATAACTTATCTGATTTAGTATAGTAACTATAGGGGAAAGCACAATATTCAGCCTTAAAACCTTGTGCTAGAGAATCCATGAGGCTCTTGGTTGAGAAGATGGTTGCAAGAAACGCCAAGCTCTCAAACCCTGAACAATTAAATCTGAAACATAAAAAAAGTTCAGATACAAACCAAGAAGACAAATTAAGAGAGACGATTAATCATAGAATTTGATCCTTATCTTTCTGGTAAAGTTCTGTGAGGCCGGTATACATGGATTCGATAAACCCTTGTCCACATAAAAGGTCTATGTGGTAGCAACATTAATGATGGACACTTAAGAGTTAAGAGTAGTTTCCATCTGTTAAATTTTAAGTAATAACCTAGAACTATATCTAAAGCAAAGTACATAGATGAATCAAGATTTACTTGAGACAGTTAGTGAGAAAATAGCAAGAAATTTAAGGATATAAAGTAAGGAAGTCAATAAAAGCAAGTTAAGGAAACAATTATGAATGTGCACAGGCAAGCAAGTATACATATTTGCGTAAGCATGCATAGAGGTCAAGTTTTCTAAATACGATATATTATCTAGTTATTGTAAACAAGAGAATAGTTAGTTAGTGATCAGCTAATAAGTAACAAACAAGTCAAGCAAGTAACAAATAAAGAATGACGTAGAAAGAATCAATGAAAGACGTAAAGAAGTAAAAAAGAGAAATAAGCAATGAATATAAACAAAGAAAACTGTAGACAAACAATGATATAAGTAGTTCATGTAAGAAAAACAAATAATCAAAGAAGAAAACAAGCAAAGGAGTTATAAGCAATGACTGAATCATTTGAGTAAACAATTATCAAAGAATAAAAGGAAAGCAAGTAAACAAGTTAATTATGTATGGTCTGAGCAAACAATGAAGTAGAATCAAAGAACCAAAAAGGAAGGAAGCAAACAAGTTAAGCGAGTAAGCAACGATCAACAAAGAAAGATACAAGAAAACAAGTTAATTATGTACGCATGCAATCAGTGAAAGAAACAAACAAGATAGCAGTGTAACTAAACAAGCAATCAATGAATCAAGAAAGTAACTATGCATGAATGTAATGATGTATGCATGTATGAATGGAGGGAGATTCAAGATACCAACTCATATCATAATTTCGAAGCGGTCGGTTTTGGGATGCAGGTTTTCAGAGTTCGGGAAGCTAGCTAAGTGTGGAAGAGGCTGATCAAGCTTCGGTCGTTAACAAGACTGTATCTCCTTTGTCAGCTTGGTTTTTGACTCCTATCGATGATTGGTCTAATCTAGTCCTCTAATTGATCTCACTAGCTCAAATGGTCCTCAAGTTTCTGGAATCTCACGGTTGGCTAGTGTCTCTCAGGTTTATCCTAATGGAAGTTGGATATTGCTGCTAAGAAGAAGTCCACTAGTCATTTTGTTGTTCCGAGCCTGCTTACCTATTCAACCGTCAGACACCGATTCTTCCCAATCTGATCAGTGTCTTTGATACTCCGCTAGGTTTCAGCTGCCAAAATTATAGAGACGAGTAAGAGTTTGAGGCACTTCATAAGCATATAATTTATCAGCTACAATTAATGGAGTTTTACCTCAAGATTGATCTCATAAGTCGCAATAACTGCTGGAAAAATCCTCAAGACACTACTACGATAACCAGAGACTGGTCCCTGGAAAAGTGATAAATAGTGGTAGAATCAACATAGGGAACAGATAAATTGAATTTTTTTTGCAGAGGATTGGTGAAACAGAACAAACCTGAAAGGTACTCTGCCGTTACCTTATAAAAAATATAAAACCTTTAGGCAAATTGCTTGTTTTGTATCCTATTTGAAGAAAGTTTAACTTTACCTGTGTGGTGTTCCTCGCGAATGCATCCAAATTTGGTGGCAAGCACTACTTTATCCCTCATACCATCCTTCAGAGCCTGGCAGATTTATAAAAATTCAACAATGTAATCATCATCTATACATATGAAATTCATGAAAAGAATCAATGCTAAGTTTTTAATTGATGAATTCCTCTCCCTCGCGCGAGCAGAGTTGTTGAACTTCAAGTTGATGAATTGTGACTGATGAAGTCGGTGCAGTTCTAAACACTCGAATCCTGGTTTAGTTAAACGAAAAGAAATCAACCAAATATAACCAAAACCGAAAGTAACATAATGGATGGTTTTAACATCGAAGTTATTGAGTATAATAAGTTCACATAGAAGAAGCTGATTAATTGGTAGCTAAGGAAGCATAAGTAATTGGTTAGAAGCTGGTAGAGGAAACATGGGTATAGAAAAATCGGTAGAGGCGAAGTGGGAAATGCGGAATAAGAGCCGATACAATTCGTCGCACTAAGCCTTTCGTAGAGTTGAGTGAACAGATAGCGTTTGTTTTGTCATGAACCAGAGTATGGTCAGTAAATACCTGAGTGCAAAATCTGCATTGTTGAGGCAACTCGCCTTCCCCCTTGAATTTCGACCTAACAGCAATCAAGTCCATCTCTAGAAAAAAATCTGCATTGTTGGTTAAGATCTGCAGAGAAAAAAATAGTTTTAATATCCAATCAAATCAGCCTGAATATCCCCATGCTTCACCATTTAAAAGACAACAACCAAATTTAATTGTACTCACCATTGGCGTCTTTTTAAAGAACTGTGATGAATCAATCTTATCTCAAATAGCTGAACTTCCAGTCGAAACATACTCTCATACAAGAACGGAATCACATAAGTATGGAGGCTCTGGTAGCCATTATGCTTTAGGGTAGCAATATAATCTTTTACCTGTAACAAAAAGGTTAGATATGCTCATACATAATACACTTTTTATAAACATAAGAGCCACGAGAGTTTCACCAAGCATTCTCTAGAGGCCATGCAAAGCAAAAACTTAATAATATATACCAATTAACAAACATCAGTCATGCATTTTAACTAGTAACAGTTAAACTAATGACATACCTCACATAATCATCAAATTCTAATGACATATCACGATCACCAACACTTTTACCTTTAAGCCTCTGGCCACTCAAAACCTGCATTCTAAATTCAAACACTACGTCGTTAACTATTCCAAAGTAGTACATAACTAAGAATTAACAGACTTACAATTGTGATAAGCAATTCCGTCTCACTGAAAACACTTCAATCTTTTCACTCGCCTCTGTAAATATGGATAACGAAAATGCAAAACCAAAACAGAACAATGATTGAATTCAATTAGAAGTAAAAGTTCTAGGCTTGATTTTTTACCTTCGAAAACTTGAGTGCCCTCTTGTAAACCAGCGGAAGAATGAAACCCTCAATACCACATAAGAAAGGAAGAAAAACCAAAATCAGAATGACAAGGAAAACAAAATTTTAACCCTTAAATTTAGATGACAATGATATGATAATTATAAAACCCTCAATAGAATCAAATCTTCTCATTCTCATATCAACATCGCAACAACATGATAGAACCTAGTGAATCTAAAACTCGTTACCAAACATGAAAGGCAAAATTAGCATTAGAATTAGGAACAGAACGAAAGGAATGGGGAAAATACCTCTGCTGCTACCATCTTGTTTCCAATTTCCACCAATTCTCTAGAGCTCATTGTACCCAAGAAACTCCTCTTGCCATTCCCTTCCTGCAATTAGCCACCCAACCTCGAAAAGTAAACTGTCACAAATAACATCATAATGGGAAGGTAAAAAAGAAAATCTCACTCTGCATTTTTACTTCCCAGTATGGTCAGTAAAAACCCTGAGTGCAGAACGTAGAGAAATCAAGTCCATCTCCTCGATTCTGATCTGCAGAGAAAAATGTAGTTTTAATTAATACCTAATCAAATCAGCCTGAATTTCCCCATGCTTCACCATTCAAAAGACATAACCCAAATATAATTGTACTCACCATTGACGTTTGTTTAGGAACTGTGATGAATTAATCTTATCTCAAATACCTGAACCTCCAGTCGAAACATACTCTCATACGAGAACAGAAACAAGCAAGCAAGTTCATAAATGAAAATAAGCACAAGAAACAAACAAGAACAAGTTAGTAATGTAACTAAAGAAGTAAGCAATGACCTCAGCAATAAATCATAAAAGCAAATATGCATGAATGTGTATGTATACATGTACGAATGAATGTATGAATGTATGCATGTATGAATGTATGAATGTATGCATGTATGAATGTATGAATGTATGCATGTATGGATGTATGGATGTATGGATGCATGTATGTATGCACACATGAATATCTCGAGGCAGAAGTCCGCTAGTCGTTTTGCTCTGAGTCTGCTTACCAATTCATCTCTTCCCAATCTGATCAGTTTCTTTGGAGGAATTCAGTTGATGCTCCATGTATCTTTCAGCTGCCAAAAAATGTAGAGATGAGTAAGATTTTGAAACACTTCAGAAGTATATAATTTATCATCTACAATTAATGGACTGTTACCTGAAGATTGATCTCATAAGACGCAACAAAAGCTGGAAAGAAAAAGTCCTCAAGACACTCCGATAACCAGAGACTGGTGCCTGGGAAAGTGAAAAATAATGATAGAATCAACATAATTTGCAGAGGGTTGGTAAAACCGAACTCACAAAGTAAAGCTCGGTATCTGGAATTTTAATCTCGGTAACTTACATCGAAGTCATTCAACACACTATTTTGAAGGATTTCAAGGAAATAGCTCAAAAGGATGCTGCCTCAAAAGCTTGATGAACATAGCTCACGTGATCAATCTCCTGGTAATCAATTAAGATTAAACACATCAAGTAAGATAGTGGAAATATTCTCACTTTCATACCATAAGGAAAGGACTTTTCAATTAGGAAGTGATGAAACAAGACACAGAAATACTGTCCATGCTACGGCGAAAGGTCCTGCTTCAGAAGTGTTGAGGCTTGAGACCATCTCTTGAACCTTAAGAAAAGACACAAGTGAGACCTTATAAGGAAAATAGAACATTTAGGCAATATTGACAGATATACAGGAGAAAGTAGAATTGACAAATTGTTGGTTTTGTAGAAACTCACTTGTAGAAAGTTTTAACTTTATATGTACAGAAATACAGACCATGCTAGGGCGAAAGGTCCTGCTTCTTTTACTTCAGAAGTGTTGAGGCGTGAGACCATCTCTTGAACCTTAAGAAAAGACACAAGTGAGACCTTATAAGAAAAATAGAACATTTAGGCAATATTGACGGATATACAGGAGAAAGTAGAATTGACAAATTGTTGGTTTTGTATCTATCTGTAGAAAGTTTTAACTTTATATGTACAGTGTTCCTCGCGAATTAATTAAACAAACCTGAAGGGTTCTCCGTCGGGAACCATTTGTAACAGATTCTCCATGTCCGACGTTCTTACAAAAATCACCTGCAACTGAATTTCAATGCAGAATGTTGTGCTTCAGCTGACACAACTAGCTTTCTTAAATTATAAGAACCTGAAAGAATCCCCTGAAATACAGCACTTGTAAGTAAAACAGAAGAGAAAAAGTAACTTGAACGACTAAGTAGAAAGAAAGGTTGAAAAAAAAATATACTTGGGAGAAGGAGTCAACTTAAGAAACAAGAAGATGACGTACAACCATTTCAGAGCTCCATTGCGATATACCTGAAATAAGCGTAACGTTGTATGAAATGTACACGGCACCATATGAGTCCGGTATGAGAACACAACACAAATTTGACTTACTATACAAGTTCAGAACCACTCAAATCAATACCCAAGTATGTTTCTTGCTCCAGATTTTGTTCTTTTTTTCTCGAACTTCATCTCTCAAGTTTTATAAGCTGAAAAATTCAAAACGTAATACAAAGGAAATGATGTAAAAGTGACCAAGCAATACTGACATAACGAAAAAAGACCTATCCAATACACTTTATCATGACATTAGTAAATGGAAACTTACAAGTGGGTTCGTGACTGGCTGATTTTCTTGTTTAGTCCATGATACAAGTTCTTCCAGCAACTTTTGCCACAGCTTATAGGTTTTAGAAATTAAACGATTAGTATTCGGACTAATACACGTTCGTAGGAATCAAATCAGTAAGCAAAAAAGCAATTAAAAAATAGAGAAAGCAAGTAAGTAAACAACAAAGCATGGAAATAATTGTGAATATTCAACGATATCTCGTGGATTGGAAACATCTACGCCTCCTGAATCTTCTTCTTCTTCTTCTTCTTCTTCTTCAAAAGAATCATCAAAAAGTAAACCAAAAGAATCAGAACAAGAACAAGAGCAAAAGCAATCTAAACCAAAAACAGAGCCACAAAACCCACTTTATTTCAATTACCAGCCACGACCACCGCTTCCTCCGTAACTTCATCCCTCACGGCCAGCCACCACCGTCACCGTATCCACCGCCATCACCACCGTCGGTGATGATACGACCATCCAATCAAAACCCCCTTGATCGTACAGTCTCGCGATCGTTAATGATCTCTCAAAACAAAATTGAACCCTAATGAATAAACCCTAATGAATCTAATCCTCGTCGATACCAAAAATCAAAATTAGAACAAGAAACAGAACAAATTTGATAGAAACCAGAGTCGAGGATTGCGATTTCTTCTTGATAACACCGAACAAAAAAAAAAGGGAAACAAAAATCAAATTCATGACGAAGACGAAACTGATAGAAATTAAACCTGAGAAAATAATCTTAACGGTCTACAAATCTTTTTGGATCCTAACCTGGAACGGTCATAAAACTCTTCATTAAATGTTTTTGAATTCAAATAATCTCACCCGTCCGATACTCTCTTCATGTAACATCGTTTAAAGTCAATTCTCCGTCAACTTGACTTAATTGGGCTTAAATTTGGACGTAGACTTTTGTGAGACTTTAACCACAATTAGATTTTTTGTTGGAATTAAAAATAATAACATCTTTTTAAAATTTGTGAAAAATGGATTCTCAAAGTTACAATACAAAAAAAAAGCCTTTTAAAATTTGAAAATAGATCATATGAACTGTTCATACAGTTATTATTATAATATAGACACAATCATGATTACTTGTATGACACACCATATAATTTGTGAATAATATTTTTTTGAGCACATCTTCAGAGCCTAATCACCGATATCTCGGCCTGTATTTGGCTCACTCATTCATGGTGGTTTTACATCATAAAAGTCGAAATTATAATCTTTTGAGACCGTCCTAAGATTTTAAACGATCAAACATGATTAGTCATCTCACTAGTTATCCTTTTTAGCCATCATATTAACTAACATTTTTAGATTCTCATATTTTCTCATATATATATATATTTAACCCGAATATTTACCCAAAAAATCGAGTATTTACCCGAAAACCCGAGTATTTATCCAAAAATCCGACAATTTACACGAACATTTATATAACGGATATTTAGCGGTTCTGAAAATCTATACCCGAAAATCTATACTATTTAGTTTTATGTCATGTATAATATAAATTGTATGTCATGTGTGTTTCAATACTTATTAAGATTTCTAAAATTATAATTTTTTATTTTATTTCTTTTAAAAATTAATATTTTTTCACTAAGAAGTACAAATTAAGAACCTACCAATGGAGATAAATATAATTTAAAAACAAAAAACCAACTCTTAAGTCAAAAAATTCAAAATTAATATAAAAATTATTCCTAAGAGTTAGATTTAAGAGTCTTGCAACGAGGGTGCTCTTATGCTTAACATTGACAGAGAAAATTCTAAGCTCTTAAAGTAGCGACTAAATTGAGAAGCAGAATTTGTCACCGCGGAGAAAGAGGTAAGAGAGGTAGTTTCTTAAAGTGATGTAACTTCAAAGATCTATTATAAATTTATAATATAATATCATATATTATATATATATATATATATATATGATATGTTTTAGTCTCAACTTTGAGTTAATTATCATCTGTTGTACAAACAATTATTAGATACAAAAAAGGTTATTACATTGATATAATTTAATTGAATTGATTTCTCATAATCATCTTTATCACATTTTGGTGTTGTGTCGTTCTATTTTTGTTTTATTCTCAAGAATAAGCATATGAACATTTTTTGTTAGAATTTATTTATGTAGCCATAACAATGCTTAAGACGTTTAGTCTTTGGTGTGTGTTAACTTAAGAATATGAATTGATATTCGAGAATTTATGGTTTTATTCCTACTTGGTGTTTAATTTGTATATCGTTTGTTTTTCATAATATAGTCTTTTAAAGTTTCAGATAAATAATAAAAACTTTAGGCGCTGACCGAGAGATCACAAATAGTGACGATCATGTTTTTACATGTTTATAACATTTTAACTAATCAAAAGATAAGTACAACAATCTGCAAGTAGCAAAATATAACTTTTGTTTAAATACTTGCACAAGATAAGTACAAAACTTTTTTTGTTTAAATACTTGCACACTAAAATTTTAAAAAAAAAACAAAATATATAAATGACACGTATATTATTTACAAAAATTATCCACGCTTGGTAATAAATTCATTTTATGGATTTACACAGTTACAATTTTTTAGATAATGTATATTTAAAGAAATCTTTGACAAAATGGTAGTTTAAAATTTTCATTGAGCTTAAGTCACCGATCAAAAAAATTTATTCGATGTATATTATCAACATCACCTATAAAGTAAAAGTAAAATTTCAGTATATTATATATATATATATATATATATATATATATATATATATATATATATATATTTTGGTAAACTGAGATTTTAGATATATTTTGAAAAAGAAGTAATATATTTTCCCTATTAAGTCATAAACAAAATTTATATATTTGTGATAATTTTGTTTGATATTTTTGGTGATCGAAATTAAACTAGTCCACTCTAGATTTTTTTTTCTTAATTAAAAAAAAAAACAATCATGAAACCCTAATAATATTCAATATCGTATTCAATTTTGTTATTTGTGGTAAAGATTATGACGGTAATTAGAAGAAACATCTAACTAAATGATGAAATAGGCAGTGATATATTTACCAATTCAAAAGTAAAGAACCTTTCTAAGCTTTATCTTTTATAGTGTCTTCCATGTAAAAACTAACTTCTAGTTTTCTATAGTTAGAAAGTGCTGAAGAATATAAAGTTCTTTCTAAAAGCTAAGGTGAGAGAGAAGATCATTGTTGTTTTAGGATAGGTGGTTTCTAGATAAGAATTTGTATCCATTTGATGTCTAGAGTGTTACCTCCGTTTTGTTTTGGCGACGATCAAAGAATGGCTTCCTCCGTGGTATCAACTTCAGAGCCCACTCACCAATATCTCGGCCCGTATTTGGCCCATAATGAATTCATTTCCAATGTTTTTTCTTTTTCCTTTTGCGTATGTATGCCAAATCGCCAACAAAATGAAAATTAATCACAGAATTTCTCTGTTTTCCATGAATTATCGTATAATTGTCCTTTTTCAACACAGTCACAGGTGTTAACTGATTACCCAACGACACACCACATCACACTGATTGAGATCACCATCATGTTCATCGTGCACAATATATATGCCTATTTTCTTATAATATATGTGATATATGTGATTCTATAACAAATGCACTACTACTAGTCTATTGATTCATCATCATGTTCACTCTCAAGGCGTGTCTAGTTTTACAGATATACGAGTAAAGCGACTCCATTTTACGAGAAACCAAGAGCAGGAATTTTCATTTTGATTCATGGAAACCAAACATCGAACATGATCACATCACATCACATCAACATCCCCGGAAGAAACTGATCAAATGCAGAAGACAAAGAAACACTTAGAAAGAACAAAGTTTTTTTTTCAAATCCTCTGGACTTTATCCGCCTTAACCAAAGGATTCGCCTTTGCGATTGCATCACGTCCAACTTCTTTGAAATCGAAGCTACACTCATGCTTCTCCGGGTACCTATGATTCCCGCAAAACGTGCTACCGCATTTGCACTTAAAACCCATTACCCCAACTTTCTTGTTACAGCTGAAACACCTGTTAGGTCGTACAGGTCTCGATGGCTCTGCCTCGTCCTGTTCCGTAGCTACCGGTACCGAAGACGGCTCAGCTGTTACAACAACGGTTTCCAAATGCGCTGGTTTAATTTCCAGAGGATGTTTTTGTCCCGGTGCAATGATACTGCAAGATGGAAGCTTTAAAGATTTCTTGACAGCAGCTTTCGCTACCGCGGTTTGATCTTCCTCAGCTCGTAAGCTTCTGTAACATTTCGAACACAGATTCATGTTGGATGGTGACCCGAAGAATCCGCATCCGTTATCACAGAGCTTAGGCTCTGTTGGTGGAAAGCTTGTGCTATTGTTCTGCTCTGAGCCCATTTTCGTTGTACCTTCTCGATCAATTTCACCTTCAATTAAACAAAACAAACAAAAACCATTAATCATCTGGCAACAGAAGAATCATTTTTAAAGGTTGTCTTCGATTCATAAGATGATAAGATTCGATTCAATTAGCCTCAAATTCGATTTAAACCAGCTTCTATATAACCAATCAATTCGATTTAACCCAGCTTCAATATAATCAATCAATTCGATTTAACCCAGCTTCAATACAATCAAAATTGATCAAATTCCATCAAACCCAGCTTCTATATAATAAAAAATGATTCAATTTGATCTAACCCAGCTTATTGATTCAATTCGATTTAACCCAGCTTTGATAAGATCTATCTCGGTATCAAATTTATCCAATTTAAGAACACTGAAATTTGATTAATCGTAAAAAAATGACCCAAATAACATTTTCACCCAAAAATGTTCAGATCTGTTGGAAAAACAAACAAAACAAATCAAATCAAACCAAAAAAAAACATTTCAGAATAATAAAATTTACCAGAAAAGTCAGATCAAATGAGATTTTTGCTACCAAATTTCAAAAGCTTCACACGATTTTTGCAGAGCTTAAATCTTCAAGAGAAGAAGGATGGTCAGGTTCTTCTAGGGATTTGTTGTTAATTCTGTTCAAAAGTTTGATCAGAACAAATCCCTTGATTTAGGTAAGAGAGAAGAAAAAGAAGAGATAACCAAACACGCAACAATGGTTGTTTGATAAGAGAAATAAGCTTTTGTTATATAAATAATAATAATGGTTTGGTTTACGAACGACGAGACACGGTTTCTTTTTTTTTTTAATTGTCGGTCTTGTCTTTTTTTTTTTTAAACGTCAGTGTTGGCGTGCTTTTGTTTTGAATTGTTTTTAGCCGTTGGATCTGTTACGACCGACGTTTATGTGACGTTACTGTTTTTATCACCGAATGGCATGATCGTAATATCTCAGAATTTATGAGGTTAAACTAGTCAATCAGCTATTTTACCATTCCTCCGCAGTCCACTGTTTTTTCTACCTCTTTTTCCACAGTCCGTTAGTTAAACATTTTTAGCTGATATAAGAAAAAGTCAGAATTTTACCAAATTTTATATTATTTGATTTGGTTTTGTTTTAAGCAATAATTAAAGTGAAATTTTTTTTTTTCATCTAAAGTGAAATTATTGTTGCAAATATGTCTCTAAGCTTGTGGTTTCTTAAGAAAATAAATTTTATTTATTTTTTTGTATTTAAAATCAATAATGTGAAAATATCAAAAGATAAGCTGCCAAAACAATTGAGAACAATGATTAAAATATTTTACAATATACAAATAATTGATGTAATCAGACATGACAATCTTCTTTTAAGCAAAACCACGAATAAATTTTATAGATAATGCTTAGATCATCTTCCACCATGATTCATAACCATTGTTGATTAGAGAGAGATTGATTAGAGATGTTAATTATGTTAACTTTCAAATGGAAGAATCATCAAATCATGAGACCTGCAATATATAATAAGTGGCTTACACATCCCCACTAAGAACCCTACCTATCCTTAATGGTCGAGAAATCATGCTGTTTTGACTTTCAAGAACCAAACTTCTTGTTGTTTCTTTTCCGTGAAGCCAGTCCTGATTTTCTGACCAAAAGCTAAAGTCAGTAAATATAGCCAAAAAAGAAAAGGTTATTCTTATAGCTTCTGATTTTAGCTACTACTAACTAAGAAATAGAACCAGTGATGAAGTCAGAGTTAACTAAAAGTGATGAACTTGACCTTTCATTGCATTGATAACCCAAACGCATAGAATCTTTCTATGAGTAACATCAAAATATAGCCAAAGAATTTATCTTTTCATGATTAAGCAAAGGACCATGGGATAGCCTAAAGACCGCAAAATATTACAAAGTATTGCACAAGGAAGATGTTCAGAATATAGAATAATGCTAGACTTATCGGGAGATTATCGAGAAGATACTCAAAAAGGGATATGGATCTAGAAAATTCAATCAAAACTTACCTATATGTAATCACCCGTTCAATATCCATTTCCGCATGAACACAATTGTATTCTTGATACATTGGTTCCATGAAAGTCTCAACCTTTATATCACAAGTCTTACACATGAATAGTAAATAAAAAAAAACTTGTACATTGTTCTCTTCTTTCTTGGCTCTGTTTTGGTTTAATATAACCGGGTTTTGTATCAGAACCGATCAAGAACAAAATTGAAATCGTTTTAAACTTTTTATGGGTAAACTCTTGGTTCTTTTATAAGAAACCATAACTAAGAAACCATAACCATTAAAAAAAAAAAAAACCATAACTAGATTATTACAGAAACACTGACCATTACAAAAACAATTAGAACAGCCGACCATAAACAACAGAAATTCTGCAAAATCCCTAATTAGGGTTCATGGCACTACTCCTTTCTGTTTTTCCATATGGTAACAAGCGAGACGCCCATTAGAGACATAACTACTGTCTGCAAAAAATCATAAATACCCGGTTAAACAAAATCATTGTCACGAAAAGTAAATAGATGAAACAAAACTATATTTCAAACTCACGGAGATTGCTGGAGGCACTCCAACGAGAGGATCTTGAAAGAACTTTGTCGCGAGGGCCAAAGCGAGAAGACTACTTTGCATTCCGGTTTCGTAAGAAATTGTTCTTTGTAGAGCTTTTACATCAGGTACCTTGCTGAAGAAGAAACCAGTGAAAAAGTAACCAGCGACGAAAGCCAAGAGATGAAACGTTATGACGATGAACAAGATGGTTGCACCAAACGGAGACAAGATTGAATCTATATTCAAAGCAAGGGGTGCTCCTATGCAACAACCCATATCGATAACTGTTAACGCCGGGAGAAATGGTTTGATTGCATTAGACAACCTTGGAAATAACCTGCAATCACATTTATAATGTAACGTTAGTTTTTTGCTAACATTACAATATTTCTAATTGATTGAGATGATGTCCTACCTGTTTAGAAGTAGTCCTGCGGCAATAGGTGTAACTACGACTTGGAGAATGCTAGAGATCATCCCAATCACATCAACGGGAAGCTTTTTACCAATGAGTAAGAGTGAAAGCATGGGTGTAACGAGGACCGCAGTAGCGGTTGAGACAGATGTCATGACGATGCTAAGCGGCGCGAGTGAAGGATCGGTCAAGAAAGTTGTGTAATTTGATAGCTGAGCTCCACTAACACATGAGACCAACATAATTCCAGCACCTATAGAAGTAGGTAGATTGAAAAGAGAGACAGCAATTACGCCGAAAATGTAACCTAAGAGAGGTTTTATCAAGTATTGTCCTATGTAACCGGCAAAAATAGCATCTGGTCTTTTAAGAGCTTCGAGAAAGTCTCTTTCGTTCGAGTTGATTCCAACTGCAAACATCATGAACCCTAAACCAGGCACAAAGTACCTAAAGTAGCAGATATATTATTAGAGATTCTGATGTCTGTTTAAAGTTTTAATCAAGATTTTGATCAGACTAGTAATTAGGTCGATACAAACCTTGGCTTGAACCATGTAAAAGAAGGTGGATAGAGAAGAGCTAAGATTGTACTTAAGAGAATTGCATGAGGAATAAAAGAGTTGGCTTGCTTTAATGTTTCCATTATAGAAGAAACCTTCTTATGGTACATCTGAAACAAAACAGAACTGTTACTGTTACTTGCCAAGAAAGCGAGAAAAGTCGCAATTTTGTTGATCGTGTTTTACCTCGTTTGAGTCAGATTCGGATACATATCTCCGCCAAGGATAACTTGACTTTCCATCTTTAGATTGTAGAACACACAAAACCAAAAAATCATAAACATTCAAAAACCGAACTGCTTCAACCCTAAAAAACAGAGTTATTAGCTGAAATTTTACTTACTTTGCGAAATCAGGTTACTTTGTATTGGAAAATCTACAGAGCATGATCCTACAAGAGAACTAAACTCATCAAAAACAAGAATTGAAGACTAAAGAGATGAATACATTTCATAAAAACAGAGGAGAAAGAAAGTGAAACCTTGAGAAGAGAATGAGAAGCTGTTGCATGGGAAAGTCGCAACTCGTCGAGTGTTGTGAAAAACAAGTGGGTAGGAATAGTTTCGAGGTTGAAGAAGACGATGTTGAGACTTTAAGAACAGAGTCTCAATCGGAGAGATCACACCCATTTTTCTTGCTTGAGACTTAAGAGAGAAAGAGATGTGGAAACAAAACGCAGCGTTTTTTTGTTCGATTTATATCTTTGTTTAGCATTATAAGCTCAAAGTACTATTACCAACCTAACCAAAGGTACGTTTCATTAGGCGTGTAAATTATTGATACATTTCCACGATACGCACGTGTGAATGCCACACCAAGTCACCAACCTATCGTCTCAAAAGCACTGTTTGAAAAATAAAATAAAATTCTCAAAAGTTTGAGTTTCCATAAGACAATTCTCATTTTATAGGATTTAGAGAAATTTATCGTCCCTTGGAACCATTGTAACAGAATTCACTCTCTCTTCTTTTGTTTCTTGTGCAAAACAACCAATCAAGAAACAAGTCCACAGTAGCATTCAAAATGTATCACAAAATCTTCGAAGAATCTCAAATCATCCCTCATGTAATACTAAGAACACAAGCAGCATAATAAGATTTAGAAGAATATCATTACTTTGACCAAAAAAAAAAGATGAAGATATCATTACCAGATCTAGTTGACTACTTAAGGAACATCAGACTCTCTGCATTTGAATCAGACTTTGGCACGTTTACATTGGAGACAGTTTAAACACTCTTTCTTGTGTCCATTCCACAGAGTAGAAGTAGAAACTAAGAGATCTGAACTTTTTTGAGCCATCCAAATCTATTCCATAGTCTTGAAAACTTCTCTGTGTCAATTTGGCGAAATTCAACCTTGAATCTTAGGGTCCACGCGTTATCAGGCAATCTTACGAGGTTCTTGCAGTCTACAAATCTCAGTTCTTCAAGAGCAGTAAGATACGAAATGGAGGAGGGTAGCTCTCTAACGGCTGTCCTGCTTAAATCCAGAAACCTTAAACATTTCATCCTTCTCGACAAGTCCGGAAACCGCTCCAGGCTTGTGCAGCCTGACAGATTCAGAGTTTCAAGATGCTTTAACTTGCAGATGCTGGTTGGAAGATTCTTAAGGTGTCTGCTGTTTTCCAGGTCCAGCTTTTCAAGCAATACCAGATTCTTGATCGAAGACGGGACTTCTTGTATCATAGTACCACCCATGTACAGTTCTTTCACATTTGGTGAGATCTCCGGGAAATTCTCTAGCTTTGAGCAGCCAGAAAGATTCAGAACCTCAAGAGATTCTAAATCAACAGTAGATGGAATACTCTCCAGCTTCGAGCAGCCCTTTAAATTTAAAAAAACAATCTTTTTGAGATAAGAAACGGACTGGCTAATGCTCAACAAGCTGTTACAACCTTCAAGATCAATATGCTCAAGATTCGGCGCACTTGAAAGTCGTGGGATTTTTGTTAACTGGTAGGAGTAGCTAAGTTTCATCTTTTTAAGGTTCCCCAGACTCTGCAAAAGAGAGAAAAAATCATGAGCAACTTCATGATTACCATATTTGACTGAATTGGTAGTACCAAAAACCTTGCCTTTTTTCCTTTCCAAAGTTTCCTTGCACAGCTACTTGATAAGTTAAGCTCTACAAGATTCTCTGGATTAAAACTTTCTGGCAAGGAGCTTAAAGGATAAAATTCCCAATGAAGAAGCCTTAGCTTGCTTGGCAAATATTCAAGACCTTGAGGAAAATATACTCCATGCTTCTCTTCCACTTTGGAGCAATACAGTTTTAACAGTCTAAGGTTACACATTTTCTCGAATACATTGGGATTTGCATCAAATGTCTGCTTCGACATGTCTAGGAAAATGCCCTCAATAGCTGTTGTGCCCTGAAAACAAAGAGAAAAAATTTACCCTCCAAAAATAATTTTAGCCGGAACAAATTTACAAGTGTCATTAATGATGACTTACAGTGTCATTTATGAATACATCCCTGATATCTTCGGCATTCCACAACCTGCTGCGGTCTCCTGGTCTGTCAGCTGATTCTTGGCGAACAATTTCTCGACCAGTTGCCTGGATAAAACTGAGCATGTCCACGAAGTTGTGTTGCGATATTGTTAACAGTGATTTGTCAACAAGGCCTCTAAATCCGACATGTGTGGAGAAACCACAACCATCCAGCAACATTGCGACATTGTCTTTATCCATCCTATTAAAGAAACATGCAATGTCCAAAAATATACTCCTCTCATTGTCATCAAGCCCACAACAGCTCCTTTCAAATATACCTGGAATGTAAATGGGAGATGTTGTCTTAACTTCTTGTGATAACCTATTCCTTTCTCTATCAACACTGCTCAAGAACTGAAGAACCTGGGGATTTCCATTTGAAAATTTGACCAGCTCAAGTGACAATGTCTTGTAAACCTCAGGTGACAAAACAATTTGAAATGTCCCACGATCGAGAAGTCGTACAGACGTAGGAATATCTAATGGCTTGACCTCATAGACATGATCGATTTTACATAGTACGAAAACACGTCTATTTCTAGAGGTCATGATTATTCTGCTTCCTGGACCAAAATAGTTAAGCTTCCCCAAAAAGGTGCCAACATCTCTGTAATCATTCACATCGTCCAGAATAACGAGGATCCTTTTACGCTGAAGCCGACTCCTCAAGAAACTAGTTTTAATGTCGGAAATCCGAATAACATGAGGTTCTACCTCTAAAACTCTAGACAAAAAATCCTCTCTCACAGCATCGTGACCTTTTACTTCAACTTCTTTGTGGAGGTCTTTAAGGAAGACACAAGTCTCATATTGGACAGAGATTCTGCGAAAGATCTCTTCAGCAATGGTTGTTTTTCCTATACCAACCGTACCCCATATACCTATGCTGCGAACATCTAGGGACTCGATGCATAGCAGTGACAAAATCTCCTCTACTTGTATATCCATCCCAATCATGTTCACCTTATCACCAGAACATAGCACCTTCAAAGCATCTCTTACAATCTCATCTATAAGTTCAGATTCGGACCTGCAAAATTTTAAGAATAAAGTAAAAACAAAACAAACATCAGGCGAAAGACCGGGATCATATATTAAAGGTCTATAACCTTAATGGTCGCAGACGAGTGAAAAGCTTCTTTATACAAATCCTAACCAGGAACAGCTAACCTGCTTTATTTTTCCTAGCCAAAATTTATCCAATTCTCCCAAATCAAAGACAAGTAGAACACGTACCTATCTGTCAACGTGTATCCAGGCATCTGAGATATTTCCTTCAAAGCAGCCTGCCACCTTTCTGGTTCGTTTTGGAGAAAATATCTTTCATAATTCTTGCTGTTACTGATTAAATCGTATGGTGATAGTCTGTAAAAGATTGGATAAACCGCTTGATACTCTGTTTGTTGGTGTTCAAGAATGTTTAAGAGGTTTGACGGGACATATGTGCTTGTTAACAATATGATAAAAACCCTACATTTTGGAACTGCATCCACCTCATCAAATTCGTTAAAGACAGAAATCCCTCTCCGGCAAAGGGCAGCTCGAAGATGGCTAATGAAATCATCGTTGATTTGGTCCCCTCTTCTGTATCTGATTACAACATCATAATCTTCAGAGGCAGAAAATCTAGCACATGTTCTTAGAGGCCCAAACACATCACTTGTATCAGAAAATGCTCTATCTACAAACATGCTCTGAGACCCTTGGAAGCCAATGGTTTGTTCAGCATCTTGCAGATTCTTTGAGGACCCTGGTGGAAAACTGACAAAGTCCGCACCATTGACGGCGACGAAACTATTTGTATTTTCATAAGCTTCACGCTTCAGATTGTCAAGAAGTGCCTAAAAGATAACACATGCATATAACAGTGTTCACTTTGATAGAATCTTCTGACTTGCTTAGACTAAAAAATTAAATTCATTATGATGGCTTTAACTTTTTATATAGCAACAAATATGTGCTTAATGGATTGACGAACCTCTTGTGTGGAAGTAAGCTCAGTGGTGTTTAAAACAGTGATGCCATCAAACGAAACTTTCATGACCTCATAAACAGAGTTGAAGAGGAGAGAGGCTCCATGAGCTTTCGAGTTGTAGACGTAATACTCTGACTCGTCCAAAACGCAAAGCGTTGAGTGGGATACAATCGAATTCCACCTCTTCTTTGAGATCCTTCCTTCTAAATCCTGTGAACAAAGGAGAAACAAATCATCAAGTATGACCGTACTTGTTGATATTTGATATGTTTCTATTTTCATAACGTTGGCTTGGTTAAATAGCTTACTCGAGGTAAGGCATTTGAATTTATGGTAAGATGACGACGAAGGTCCTTGACAGTATGGATCCCAGCTTGGCACAAACACGATTCTGTAAGGCCGTCTTTGGCGATATATTCTAGCCTCCAGACCTCAGAACCAGGATATGGAAGGTTGTGTTTCCGATAAGCTGCAGCATTACCAAAACGAACAAAATGATTAAGCAAATGCGTTCGCGATTACTGGTCGTACAGAATTACTCTGCTAATCTAGGAATTGACTCACATTCTCCTCGTTGATCTCTGCACGTAAACGCTTCACTTATCGCCTCCACAACTCCTCCTTCGGTCGCTTTTGCACCTAATCGGAACTTCCTGCTCCTCATCCAGCTCGAATTATGTGTGAAAGTGACATCACCGCCGATCACTCCGACCCCATCCTTAAGCGTCACAGTCAGATCTCCGACGAGCAACGGTCGTTTCCCTTCCCGTGACCGGAGTATATTCCGGTTGAACTCATCGGAGGTCCAGCTTTCTCTGGCGAAATCGCCGTTCAGTGGTACGATCTCGAGCCGCGAGAACGAAAGCGAGTCCAAGGTGACTCGAGTGTTTGTGGCGGTCTCGACGAGCTCGATTGTTACTGGAGAACCGTCCTCGGCCTCAATCCTTGAACCCGTGAATATATTTCGTGGCGGCGAGTTTATGAAACGCAGCTTCAACAAGGGAGTTTTAGTAGACGTTGTAACAGGCTGAACAAGTTCTTCGATTTCTCGGCGTATGATGCGACGGAAGAACTTTTCCATCTCAACTGGTTCCATTACACAGATTTTTTTCACTTCTTCGAAGCTCTTGATTTACTTTTCTTGGTCTTGCCAAATCTTTTCGAGGAATTGATTGTTCTTTGAAGAAAAATTTCGACCAAAAAAACGGTTTTCTCACAGATAGATTCTTTTAAGATCATCTTTACTTTTTGTCAAGAGCGTTTTCTTATTACAATTTGGGATTGGGTTTATTATTTCTTTCTTTTTTTGTCGGTCATTATTATTTTTCTGATAGATAAATAGGGAGATTTATTGAGATGTTATACATTTTATATGAAATTACCAGAAACATACAGATCTTTTTTTTATTACTATCATATTTTGGGTATATTTTTTATACCCAGCGTGCCCCTGTTAAACGTTACAGAAAAAAACGTAATTACAAAGAATGCCACTGCCACGTCAGCAAAGCCGCGTCGCCACATCAGAAATCGCTGACGTGTATTAATGAACTCAGCCGTCGAGCGATATAGCGGCAGTGACGGCTGAGTTACGGTATGTTGCGGCTGATTTAAGAAAAATGGTTGAGTTATGAGCAAACGGCTGACTTACGAGTATAACCCAGCCTGGAGTTACGGCTGACTTACTGAAATCTGTCTGAGTTATGATAAAATGGCTGACTTTCGAGCATAACCCACCCTAAGGTACGGCTGAGTTTTCACCCGATGGTTGATTTGTCAAATTTTTGGCTGAATTATTGCTTCGACACGGCTGACTTAACTTTCTCCGGCTGGCTGAGTTATCAAAGACGGCTTAGTTATGGGATGACGTTACGGACGAAAGGTTGTGTAAATTATATGTTACGGCTGAGTTACATCACGTTACGGCTGAGTTACATCACTTTACGGCTGATTTATAATACAGATCGGAAAGCAACATTTTTTTGGAGAAGACAATATGAAATTTATTGGTCAAATAACAACAATCAAATTAAGATTCGTAAAAATATGTTTGAGAGATACATAGGAGGAAGACTAAACCGTATGAATCAAAACATAGATAGAAGTAGAAATGTCTCCAAATAGATCGATTGAGAGGAAGATTAAACGAGAGACATGTAAAATCAAAGTAAAAGAGTAGCTATTCTTGATTTCAACTCAAACCTGTAACGAATCATGTAGAATTCCATAGATCTCTTTGTTTTGGGTTTTGATTTTTGATGACTTTTTTCGTGAGCGTGGTTGCGAGTAGATCTGACGAAGCTTTTGATTTGGGACCCTATGGCAAGCGTTGTGGCTGTGAGGTCTAGGAAGATTCAGCCCAATCCTGCAATTTGAAGATCTCTGTCAATGTTGTACCCAAGTTAGTTACAGATTATTAGATCTAAAAGCTTTTCTTGGATTTGGAGACAAAAAAAGAGAAGAGGAGAAATGATCTAAAAGCTTTTCTTGGATTTGGAGACAAAAAAAGAGAAGAGGAGAAATAACGTGAGTTTGAAGAGTGTGAGATTGGTGATGTGGATTAATGACATGAATAACCAAATTTTTATTTATTATTTTTAATTAAAAACGAATTAAAAATTATTAATTAAAAAAAAACTAATGAAGGGTGTTAATTGTAATTACACAAATGCTCAAAACATATGAGTAATTTTTAGAAAATGTATGATATTCTAGTAATATTCGAACTTTTGGTTAACATCTGAGTAAATATTTCTAGATAAATATAGTACTCCCTCGGTTTCGTTTTAGTTGTCGTTTAAAGTTTTCTCACACAAATTAAGAAAAACATTAAATTTTATAAAAAATTTTATTGGCCAAAACATTAAAACAATAGAGATAATACTGGAATTTTTACCAAATATTTGCATTGAAAACCTAAAACGACAACTATTACGAAACAAAATTTAAGTCCTAAAACGACAACTAAAACGAAACGGATGGAGTATTTGTTTAGGAAAAATTACTAAATAAATACACCTTTTTCCGGCAATAATCAGAGAAACCAAAAAACTATGCGTTGACCGATCATTTTAGCTTCGTAATCTGTACGGTAAACTGGAAAAATTGCATCAAGAGCTCTCTCATGGAATCATCTACTCCTCCCTCTGCAGAATTCGATGTGTTTCTCAGTTTCAGAGGCTTTGACACACGCAACAACTTCACCGGTCATCTTCAAAAAGCACTTCGTCTGAGAGGAATCGACTCATTCATCGACGACAGGCTCCATCGAGGTGACAATCTCACCGCGCTTTTCGATCGAATAGAGAAATCCAAGATCGCAATCATCATCTTCTCGACAAATTACGCAAATTCTGCTTGGTGCCTTCGAGAGCTTGTGAAGATCCTCGAATGTAGAAACAGAAACCAGCAGCTGGTTGTACCGATCTTCTACAAAGTTGAAAAATCGGATGTCAAGATACAGGAATTGACTTTTCCCGGAGTTTCACCGGAAGAGATTTCATCATGGAAGGCTGCTCTTGTCTCAGCATCCAACATTCTCGGTTATGTAGTCAAGGAAATAAGGTATACTTCATCAATGTCACAAAAAAAAACTTACTCAGTCTTTGGTGTCAAAGTTATCACTTTGTTTCCTCTGCCTTTATCTTCTTAGAAATGCTGTTAAAAGTTTCTATTATCTCGTTTAAACTAAATCCAGCTTCTTCTTCATTTTGTTAGCACGTCTGAGGCCAACCTTGTTGATGAAATTGCTGTTGACACATTCAAGAAGCTGAATGATTTGGCTCCGAGTGGGAACGAAGGTCTCGTGGGAATAGAATCGCGTTTGAAGAATCTTGAAAAGCTGTTATCATGGGAGGATTTGGATTCTGTTCATATCATAGGCATTGTTGGAATGGTAGGGATTGGGAAAACGACTCTTGCTGATTGTTTGTATGGACGTATGCGTGGTCGGTTCGACGGTAGCTGCTTCCTAACAAATATTCGCGAAAATTCGGGTAGAAGCGGATTAGAATATTTGCTGCAGAAACTCTTTTCCACTGTACTAAATGATAGAGATTTGGAGATTGGAGCTCCTGGAAATGCACATGAGAGATTTGAGCGCCGGCTTAAGAGCAAGAGGCTGCTTATTGTGCTTGATGATGTGAATGATGAAAAGCAGATCAGATATCTTATGGGGCACTGCAAATGGTATCAAGGAGGAAGTAGAATTATCATTACTACTAGAGACTGTAAACTGATCGAGACGATCAAAGGCCGAAAATATGTGCTCCCGAAATTGAATGATAGAGAAGCCTTGAAGCTTTTTAGCTTGAATGCGTTTAATGACTCTTGCCCTTCGAAAGAGTTCGAAGGTTTGACAAATATGGTTCTAGATTACGCTAAAGGCCACCCTTTGGCTCTTAAGGTGTTAGGATCTGATCTTTGTGAGAGGGATAATCTGTACTGGGAAGCTAAACTGGATAGACTGAAATGTAGATCACATGGAGATATCTACGAAGTTCTGGAAACAAGCTACGAGGAGCTTACCATTGAGCAGAAGAATGTTTTTCTCGATATTGCATGTTTTTTCAGATCAGAGAACGTGGATTACGTGACAAGCCTTCTTAACAGTCATGGTGTGGACGTGTCTAGCGTGATAAAGGATCTTGTTGACAAATGTCTAATCACTCTTTCTGATAATCGCATTGAGATGCATGACATGTTGCAGACGATGGGCAAGGAGATTAGTTTAAAAGCAGAAACAATAGGAATAAGAGACTTTACGTGGCTATCACGACATGGTAACCAGTGCCAATGGCATATCAGACTATGGGACAGTGAGGATATTTGTGACATACTAACCAAAGGCCAGGTAATGACATATCCTTGATGATATTCTATTGTCTACAATTTGGTATTATACTTTAGCATCTTGCTTTGAATTAACTATTGTTCATCTACCACTTGATTGATAGGGCACTGACAAGATAAGAGGGATTTTTCTCGACACATCAAAACTAAGAGCAATGCGTCTAAGTGCCAAAGCCTTAAAAGGGATGTACAATCTCAAATACTTGAAAATTTATGATTCTCATTGTTCCCGTGGATGTGAAGTGGAATTTAAACTGCACTTGCGGAAGGGGCTTGATTACCTTCCTAATGAGCTTACATATCTACATTGGCATGGTTACCCACTACAGAGTATCCCTTTAGACTTTGACCCCAAGAATCTTGTAGACCTTAAATTGCCACATAGTCAATTAGCAGAAATTTGGGATGATGAAAAGGTATGCTTTTATGTGTACTTAAATAAGTCCTTAGCTAAAGTGAATGCTAATTTGCATCAAAAATTTAACTTGTGGTTGGATTTTTTTTTTCACAGGATGCTGGAATGCTCAAATGGGTTGATCTTAGTCACTCCTTGAATTTACATCAGTGTTTGGGTTTGGCTAATGCTCAAAATCTTGAGAGGTTGAATCTAGAAGGATGTACTAGTTTGAAAAAATTGCCGACAACGATAAATGGTTTGGAGAAGCTTGTTTACCTCAATCTCAGGGATTGCACAAGCCTTAGGAGTCTTCCAAAAGGACTCAAAACTCAATCCTTGCAAACTCTTATTCTCAGTGGCTGCTCCAGATTAAAGAAATTCCCACTGATCTCAGAAAATGTTGAAGTTTTACTTTTAGATGGCACTGCTATAAAGAGCCTTCCCGAATCCATTGAAACCTTGAGAAGACTTGCTTTGCTGAATCTGAAGAATTGCAAAAAGCTGAAACATCTTTCTTCTGATCTTTATAAGCTGAAATGTCTACAAGAGCTAATACTCTCAGGTTGCTCACGATTAGAGGTTTTTCCAGAAATTAAGGAAGACATGGAATCTTTGGAGATTTTACTTATGGATGATACAGCCATCACTGAGATGCCAAAGATGATGCATTTGAGCAATATCCAGACATTTTCGTTATGTGGAACAAGCAGTCAAGTTTCTGTTAGTATGTTCTTCATGCCACCTACATTGGGCTGCTCTCGGTTAACAGATCTTTACCTCTCAAGATGCAGTCTTTACAAACTCCCAGATAATATCGGTGGCCTATCCTCTTTGCAGTCTTTATGCTTAAGCGGAAACAACATCGAGAATCTTCCAGAAAGCTTCAACCAGCTTCACAATCTGAAATGGTTTGATCTAAAGTTTTGCAAAATGCTCAAGTCTCTACCAGTCCTTCCGCAAAACCTGCAGTATCTAGATGCACACGAATGCGAGTCACTTGAAACTTTGGAAAATCCATTGACGCCTTTGACGGTAGGAGAGAGGATCCATTCTATGTTCATCTTTAGCAACTGTTACAAACTGAACCAAGACGCACAGAGTCTTGTGGGTCATGCTCGAATCAAAAGTCAGTTGATGGCTAATGCTTCTGTAAAACGTTATTATCGGGTATTCTTTTTATTCTTCCCTCTCTCTTTCACCATCAAAATTAGAACAAAAGCTTATTGTCTGTCTTTTACAGGGTTTCATCCCAGAGCCTCTGGTTGGAATCTGTTATGCAGCGACAGACATACCGAGCTGGTTCTGCCACCAAAGACTAGGACGCTCACTAGAAATCCCATTGCCTCCACACTGGTGTGACACTGACTTTGTTGGACTTGCGTTATCTGTAGTTGTCTCATTCATGGACTATGAAGACAGTGCGAAACGTTTCTCGGTAAAGTGTTGTGGCAAATTCGAGAACCAAGACGGTTCCTTCACGAGATTTGATTTCACTCTCGCAGGCTGGAACGAACCGTGTGGATCCCTTAGCCATGAACCAAGAAAGCTCGCTTCTGACCACGTTTTCATGGGATACAACAGTTGCTTCCACGTCAAGAATCTCCATGGAGAGAGTAAAAACTGTTGCTACACAAAGGCTTCGTTCGAATTCTATGTGACAGATGATGAAACAAGAAAGAAGATAGAAACTTGTGAAGTGATAAAATGTGGGATGAGTTTAGTGTATGTTCCTGAAGATGATGATTGTATGTTGCTGAAGAAGACAAATATAGTTCAGCTAAGTTTGAAGAGCGGACCAAGCTGTACCGAACCAACCTGTTCCTACGGTCTTGATGATGTTATGGACGATGTTAGACCCAAGAGAGGACTTTGCCAGTTTGTTGGTGGTGGAGAACCAGATTGTAAGAGAACGAAGGAGGAGAAGATCACAGTGCGATAAAGTCTATAGTTATGTCAAAATTTTGTTTTATTGAATGTCAGTAAACGTCAATGCCTTTTATTTGTGTATTCTATATGTAAAAGGACTAGTTCATGATGATTAGGTGTAGCATGATAGTTAGGTATTTTCGTAAACCAAGGAATATGCAGACAAAGAAATTAATAGTATATGTTTTCTAATTAAACATGCTTCTCATAATCAAAGAATGATAAGAAAAAAGATAGACAGAATTGAAGACACTGACCATGTTACCTTTATTAAAGTCACTTCAATTGTCTCTTGGTTTCCACCTCTTGAGGGATCAAATCCCATAGTTTTCCACTACTAAAAGGAAAATATGAGAAGAATCAGAAAATGAGTATATAAATGGAAAAGCCAACATTATGAAGATCTGACTATCTTCTATAATATCATTGCAAACTCCACACACCACCGTTAACAGAAAAAACAAGAAGAGGATGTGTGATTAAAATATGGACAGCTACTAAAATAATTAGGTAATCGTTATGCGCATCCTTATATTCAAGAACATTGTATATCTATTAAAGATCAACAATGACAAACATAACTTGATAAGAGATTAGACACAATCCTAAAGTAAAAATAGACTCGACACCTTCAGTTTCATCTTCTTTTGGACATATGGAACAGTGCATAACTTCAGTGCATATATATAAACAAATGTAAAGGTTGGCATAGATATAACTGCAGTGAAAGATGATACATTACAGGAAAGAAGAAAAAAAAAATCGTAAAGATGAGACCAAGACAGGAAGACTCAACCACTAACCTTGACCAAATCAGACAACATAACCTGAGTGAATTCACAGGTCCAAAACAATGACAACAAGAAAAAAAGCTGCTCTTAGACTTTTAAACTTGTGAATGAATATCTTGGCTTTAGTAATGCAGCTAGGAAAAAACCAACCTTTGGACCTATAAGCTAATTTCGAAATATCGATTGTACATATGCAGCTAGAACTACACACGTAGAAGTTAAGAGAGCACTTACCATGGTTGATCAATCACTCAGAGTGCATTGTATGGTTGCATAAATCTCACATGTAGATTTTCTCAAACGGCATAATCTCACCTGCAATATAAATACCAAACACATTTTCAGAGATTAAGATGATGTAGCATGTCAAAGCACATTCAATTTCTAAACAAACACTTTAATCTCTTGAAAAGAAAAGAAAAACAGATTGCTTGGAATAACAACAACCTCGTGGATTCTGGAACTTTGTGAATCTTGTTTCAGGTTCTTCCATCAAATTTATAAAATTGCGACAAATTAGAATCCAATTTCAGAGTATGGCCGAAGAGAAGATGGACCGAGAGTTTCAAGAGATATCCATTAAAATCGAAAGCGATGGAAAGTGAGAATAGGAGTTGTGACGAGTGGACAAGAAGAAAAATTGATCTCCGAACATGAGAGAAGCTTTGTGAGAGAAAGATACCGGGGGTATTGCCGATACGGTGGTGGAAGGCATTGCAGCGATGGCGTTGTCAGATTGTGACAAAAGACAAACCGAAATTCAGGAAATTGGGGAAAATTGCGAAAACCGGGTCCACAGAGAATACGGTGTGTCGACCACAGTGGATTATACTCTGTGAAAACTGAAAAGTGTGAAACTCGCGACAAACTAAAAACTAAAAAAAAAAAAGCAACTAAGCTCCTTATTATTGCCACGTGTATGGCTATAAATCCACACTTGCCCTTCGTTGATGAATCTCTTCCAGTCCGGTACGCCACACAACTGGCCGAAAGTTGAAATATATAGCACATGCTTACAAAACCGGTCTAATAATCAAAATGGTATTATGATTCCTTTTAAACTTAACTACTATTTCAATGACTAGCCCACTGGGCCTAAGCCCGCGTCACAGGGATTTTTAAGCCTCCACTTAAGGGCCCTCTGATAAACTGGTGGTCTGGAGCGCCTGAGCAAGTCCGCATGTAAATTCCCAGGTGGCCACAGGAGTGAGAGAGCGAAACTGCGTCTGGGGAGGATCGATCCCTGGCCTAGACCAACAGGGCGATCCTTCCAACCAAACGAGAACCACTCTCCCACCACCATGCGGTTAACTATTTCAATTTTCGGTTAAATATCGTTATATTTTTCATTAACCCTCATTTAAAACACTGTTTGATAGCAAATAAGAAGCCAAGTAACTCAAGTTATCTAAAAACACTGATTTGTGGGGTAACCAAAAAAAGTCTGAACCATATATCGTAGTTCAAAGACCAAACCATTAATTAAATAATTAGTTTTCTATTCTGCTTTCTCCAGTAGACTCAGGATTTGAGATCTTGAGCTCAAGAAGAAATATAAGAAAAATCTTTTAAGAAAAATGATTTTTATATAGTAATCATAAAGTTTAAAAGTTAAGATGAAATGAAACCAAACAACTAATATGATGAATAATATTAAAAAAAAAGAGAGAAATATATAATTGAATTTTGTAGTATACTGTATACCTCTCCAATCAAACATGTTTTACTATTACACCAAAATAATTTTCAATAGTTTTTTTGAGACCTTAAAAACTTACATCTAAAATTATGTATGGTCCTTAGATAAGTGAAAGTTTGATCCACACGCTTATGCCGACATGATCCAGGTCTTTCAAACTAATTATTTAATTATTTTTCGTCAACCGTGGGATTAACTATTTTATTATTTTGATAAACTGAATTTTTTTAAAAGAAAAACAAAAACAAATGCAAGTACGACGGAAGAAATCAATAAATTAAAGAAATGGTACATGCGTCAAGCCATTACATTAACAAACCAAAAAAAAAAAAAAAAATTGGTAGAGCAATTTGTTTTTCTTTATCAAAATCACACAAAATCTTCTTTATTTGTTATTTAATCCTTCCTTCATCCTCAGGTTTCTTTCGATTCGTTGAGTAATTCGATTAGTAAAAATCTAGGGCTCTATTTTTCTTGTCTCTGTTTCTGGGTTTGTTCTCGATGACTTATCACGAGGAAGACGATACAGTTTCTGAATTTCGAGTTAGAGTTGAAGAAGATGGAGTTGAGAAATTAGGGCATTATGTTAAACTTACTGAGGAAGATGATCCATCACCGTCTTCTTCTTCTTCTTCTTCTTCTTCTTCTTCTTCTTCTTCTTCATGTGGACAGAAACGATCTGTTTGGTTTTGGATCAAGCTTGGTCTTTTCTTAACATTTCTAACTGCTTTGGGTCTCGCTGGTTACAAATGGCTCGCTCCTTTAATCATGGATAAGGTTTTGATTTTCTTCCAATTCAATGCACGTCTCTCAATACAATGATGATGTCTTGTTGGATTGATGTTCTATGTGTTATGTTCTTCCGAAAGTTTTGTTCTTTATCAATTGGGTTTGATTAGAGTTTCAACAACTGATCACTGATCATCACTCTTGAATTAGATTTCAAGTACCGGCCACAAGTCTGATTGATGTTACTGTTCTTTTAGTGTAGAAAAATGGTTCCTTTATGGGATTGATTCATGTGAATTTGTATCTTGAAAAGTTTGTGGTTAATGTTCTGTGGCTTAAATCAGTTGATTTTCGATACCTATATGACCCGGTGCTCTTAACGAATTCAACCAGTAACATCTTTGGCTTTGTTGCTGATTGTGGGATTATACACTTACCTTTGTTTGCAGGAGCTAATCCCTCTCATAAAATGGGAGATGGAGACATTTACACACCCGGTGTGCGGTATTCTTGTGTTTGCATCGGTGTCATTATTCCCTGTGATACTTATTCCAACTACGCCGTCAATGTGGGTGGCTGGGATTACATTTGGTTATTTCTATGGCCTTCTCCTTACTCTTCCAGCTGTAGCTATTGGTGTTTCACTTCCTTACTTCATCAGCTATCTCTTCCTCAACAAAATTCAAGTATGTGAACTCGCTTAGAAATCGGTTATATCCTGAGTAACGACTACTTTATATATCGTTGAAATTGATGAATGTTGCAGGGTTGGTTAGAAAGATATCCAGATCAAGCTGCAATGTTGAGAGCTGCTGGTGGAGGTAGTTGGTTTCACCAGTTTCGAGCTGTAACCTTAATCCGGATTTCTCCATTCCCTTTTCCTCTTTATAACTATTGCGCTGTTGCAACTCGTGTAAAGTTCGGTCCTTACATGGCTGGTTCTCTCGTAGGCATGGCGCCAGAGATTTTCGTCGCAATTTATACGTAAGTGTAGAAATTTCTTGCAATTTTAGATAATGAATGAATGATTTAGCATTCTGATAGTTTTGTTTGGTTTTGATGTTTGCAGAGGGATTCTTATAAGGGCATTGGTAGATGCATCCACTGCGGAACAAGAGGGTCTCTCGATTCTTCAGATTGTTCTCAACATTCTTGGTTTTGTAGCAACTGTTGTGACAACTGTTCTCATCACTAAGTATGCGAAAAGACAGCTTGAAGTTATGAAAAAGGAGAAGGAAGCTTTGTTGTTACAGTAATGGAGACAACAACCTCAGAAGTTTTGTCTCTGCTTATTACCAAAGTACAGGTTTTGTCCATGATGTGAAAAAACTAGATTTTTGTTTGGTCAAATGTTTTGGTTTGTCATTACAAACGAGAAATGAAAGGGTAGAAAAGAAAAATTATAATGACTAAAAACACACAAAATTCTCTAACACGATCTTATATGTGTTTCTGGTATTTTTGTTTTTTGATGATTGAAAAGAGTCAATTAACTGACATTGTTGATATTGGTATATAATTGAAAACTTAAGATCATTTCTCCTTCTTCGTCTTCTCATTTTTGAAGACTGGAAGTTGTCTCATTGGTAAATAGTCTTACTGTTGTGTCAGATAATCCATATTCATAGGTGAAAAGTGAAAACTTGCTCTTCGAATATTATGGGCTGAATTGAGAAAGAGCCCAATGTAGCTTACATGCCCAATTTTTTCTCTTATCAAAATCAAATATGTTATTTTTGAACTATAGTCAGAGTTATTTGTAGCCTACGACCCCTGTTCTAAAAATCCCCGCCTAGCCCCGATTACTCCCCGCTTAATCGCTAGGCCCACTCTATCCGCCTCGATTAATGACTAATCCCCTAAAAAATCAGTAACCCGATTATTTTCCGCCTAATCCGATTACTTCCCGCCTAATCTTATATATCCCGATTATTTTTTAGATTGCAAGTATAGAAAAACTTTTTATTTTTGTTATTCAATCATTTGAATGGAGAGTTTGTGATGTTTTACAATAACTTGTGTTCAAATTTTAATAAAAATCATAAATTTGTATAAAAATCATAAATTTTTACAATATTGGATTAATATATTTTAAAATTATTAAAATAACCCTAAAACTAATCCCCGATTAATCCTCGATTTTAATCTGATTTTCCGATTAATCGCTAGGCCCATGCCGAGCGCCCGACTAGCGCCTAGCGATTTTTCAAACAAGGCCTACGACTATGCTTTTCGGCATATTAAATGGTGGAAATAAAGAAGAAACATAACCTATGATTTTTGAAGAAGCTGCCCCATACTGCGCATGTGAGCCCAATTCAATGAACCATGTCAACAAATAAATAATCATAAGACTATCAGCAATGGTAAACTTGGGTGAATGTGTGTTAGTGGGGTGTAAATATTTTTTTATTATTATAATTAGAGATAGAGAAAAGAGAGAGAGGGAGAGATAGAGAGAGATAGAAAGAAGAAATTTTTTTCTATTTTTATAATACCTTACACTTGAGTGTAAACTTGCACCCTTGTTTTATGTTTTAGCCCAAATTTACATTATTTCTCATTTGTTTATAACTAACACCCGAGTGTTAAATACTCCACTGCGTGTGCTCTAAGAAGAGCAATCAAAATTTATGCTCTATCCTTTTCTTCTTAAATAAAAAAAGTGTTCATTCAAATTAAACAATGCTAATTAGTCTTGTCATTCTTTGATTTGTAAATAGTTTTTTGAGTGAACATGACATGTATATGTAGAGTTGTTGTCAAGTAGTAGCCGCGCCTATATAGTCCGGACCACAGTGGACTTTTTATTTGGTGGATTTAACGGATCAACCCATTTAAAACCGTGAACATAAAAATCTTAACTTAAACTGCTTGACGTGTGTAGATATCACGGACCATCCCTGACCATTTTATACATTAGTCATAAATGAAAAAGGATCATATAAACAAACACACACCTATGCATTAGTAAAGTAAAAAATAAAACAAGAACTTTTTTTTTATATATATATAACAACTAACTCGTTGAATATTTATATGAATCTACCCAAGTGAAGGAGTGAGAGAGATAAGAGGAGAAGAAGAACTATATGAAGAGTAGGAAAGCACATTGAGAAATGAGAATTGTTTGCGAGAAACAAAAAACATCAAGAAATACCCAAAATATCAATCTATTAGGAACATAGGGAATAATTGATTCAGTTTTTATATTGGTTACTATTTTTAATTTTTCATAGCGGTACAATTGAAGCTATCCTAAGATTCCTAACACAACAATACCGAGCAACAAATATGTTCAACTACTCTCATCCCCAAATAAATGTTGTCTTAATTCCCTTCAAAAGTGCTTTTGGTCCAAAACCCAAAATCCTTTGAAACACTTTTGTCTAAAAGTATATGTAAAGCCATTTACATTTTGTCCTACGTATGAACCACAAAATTAAATATTTGTCCTATGCTCTTAATTTTTTTTTCCTTCCTTTAGACTAAAATATTTACTCAATTAGTAAAAGTTACATGTCAAACATAATTTAGTTTGCATTTTCTGAATATTCTGGCTTGAATTAACAATAAATATGCTTCTGACTTGGTACCACTTTCATCAGTGTATCTATATGTCTTTTTCATGCGAATAAAACCCATTGCTCATTAATGGTATTTTGTCATCTGATGAAACACATGCTCTTATATAGGAAAAAGACTTTCAAATTCAGTTACACATTCAAAAGATTTTAAATATTGAAAAATGTTTACACATTACATTCAATGTTTTTAAAAATTTAGGCTTTAATTAAGATATTTGGGTGGACACCAAATAAGAAAAATTTTCTTTAAAATTTTAATACTAACTAGGATATGACCCGCGGTACACCGCGGGGTAAATAAATTTTTGTTTGTATTTTTTTTTTATAATTTGATTATTTGTGTTATATTTATTTGATTAAAAAAAAATTTTGGTTTATCTAAATCTTTTTTTGTTTTTGTCTTTTTTTATAATCTTATGATTGATCGTATTTGGTTTGTAATAAAGCTAGATTTTACCCCGCCGCGGATTGATATTTTTGTAACTAAAAAGTTTAAATTTTAAGTTGTAGTTGTTTTGTTGATATTATTTGTTTTGTATAGTATTTATGATTGTATACTTGTATTTTAGTTGTTAATTCTAGCATTTCACCTATGGTATACCGTCCCGTATTAATATCGACCCTAACCCGTCCGGTGAAATTAAATCTTTTTTTTTCCGAAAAATACTTTGTTTAAAGGACATATGGTTCCCATATGATTTATGTTTTGTTATTCAATTTAAAGTTTGCTTATAAATGGTTTCCATAATATTTATATTTTTAATTTTTATAGAGTTCAAATATAAAAAGTATTACTGCAGGCCTAGAAAGAAATGTTGAATGCCCGTACCAACCGCTTGGTCTAGTGATCATGTGAAAATGAGTAAACCAAATTGAAATCCCTAGATTTGCGAGAGTGGATCGGTCATAGAGCTCAGTTTACGGTGGTGAATCCAGTGAGCCATGAGCCATGAGACCACAATTGGAGAAGATGTGAAGCAAAAGCAGATCGAGAACCATGTAGGCTTGAAACTCTCTTCTTCTTCTTCTTCTCCTTCAATCTCTCTCTTACCAAAACTAATCTCGTTTGCTAGTGCTCTATCTCTTACATCCTCTTCCCCTGCCTTAGCCATTCCTTCTTTCTCCTCTTCTCAGCCACTCACCACTCCTTTCAGTACCCAATCCAAGTTTGTGCAGATTGGTCTTCTCAATGGATTTGTTCCTCTTCCAGTCTAATTCTTGATCTCCAAAACAAATCTAATCTTGATTACTTTTCCTTTTTTATCATTTGTGTAGCAAAATTAGACCTTGCCCTTCCACGAACCCAGGTTGTGTATCGACGAATCCGACCTCATCTTCCTTCTCATTTCCATTGACGATCCGTGAAACCGATGCACAGGATCCCATTCAGGTCTTTGATTGTTGCTATTAAGCACATTTTAAAAAAAACGTTATGCTTTTTGATTGTTGCTATAAGGTGAGAGGGTCTTTCCAAGATATTAGATGTTAAAACTCTATTTTTACTTACGCAGGAACTTTTGACAATCTAATTATTATGTATTAAGACTTGTGCTAACCCCGTAAAAGGATGCTTCTTCTTTTATTTTTGTTTTAGGTTCTAAGTCGATGGTTCTAATCTTTGAAAAAATAATCAGTTAGATCTTTGTTTGAAGAATCTGTCTTCTTGCATTCGAAAATTTTATATATCATATAATTTTCGTTGATATTTGCTCAGAGACTAAAATCTTCATTGGTAACATGTTTAAAGAGAGATTGCTCTGGTTGTTCACGTTGTGACATTTGTTGAATTTGGCAGGTTCATGGATCTCAAATGCAAAGCAACATGGACACGCTTATTCAACATAGTCAAGGACCAAAGTAAACAATGAGATTCCTTATGGGATCTTAAAGAACATTTTCATACAACACATTACAAACAGGTCGGTCGTTTTCAAAGTCTCTTTCCATTTTTCCATGTCTTTTTATGTTTTAAGCTAATCATTTGATCGCCTCAAAAGGTATTTCAAGAATACATGATAGTTTCTTGTCATCTTAATTCTTCATTTCCTACACAGAAAATCTTGTAGAAAACAATTTATAAACATAGATTAGATCAAATCCAAATCCAACTAATACTAAAACAAAGTATTCCAGAAGAAACACAAAATGATATATATTTTTATGAAAAGGAATGTATACAATATTGTAATGTAGTATCAAAAAGAAGTTAAAGGCTTTATGGATCTGCAGAATCTGTGTTGTTCAAATCAAATCTGCAGAACATTTCTCTTGCATTTTCTTGTTAACCACAAATCTGCAGAAAAAACAAAACAAAAAAAAATGAATTTGGAAACTGAAAATAATATTTGAGTTCAGAATCTCACCACTCACCAGTTTGGTTGTGTATTGCCATGATGCAGGATCTTAACTTAGATTCGTCATGCGATTTTGTAAACCCGTCTCTTAGATAGGCGAATGAAACAACCATGGAGATATTGAAAAGGTTTCATCCTCGATGTAAAAGGTATAATGTTTCTTGATGTGCTGTTTTTTTCTTTTGCATGTGTTGACATGTTATATATAGAGGTTGTAGATGTTTAGGGTTAGGTTTGATTGTAAAGCAGAAAAATTTTGGTGATCAAGATCAAAATCTTGAAAATCTCGCAATTTGAAATTAATCCTAACTATATTAGGTATATTCTCTATATATGGTACAAAAGAGATATATATATTACAATCGTCAAGATTTATGTATATTGTTAGCATGTTTAGTTGTTAGAACCGTGTAATTAATGAGATAATTATTGTCGTTTCTTTTTGTAGAAAACATCTTACCAAAAGAGATATACATAATAATAGGCGAAATTTGTGGAAGATCCGAACTAAAGATTTGTTGGTTACCAAACAAATCATTTTAATTCGTTAGAATTTTTTTGGAAAGTATCATTTAATGTGAATCCGAAATACTTTTTTTTGGGTCAAATTTCGGGTCAAAATTAAACAAATTTTCGGGTCAAAGATTTGGTGAATAAATTTCGGGTTGAAAATCACAAAGAAGGTAAGATCCGATTGTCTCCAAGTCGGGTCGAAATAAATTAATTCCGGGTCAAAATTTCGACCCGATTGGGGACCCAAAAAACGGTTGCAAAAATGTATAGTAGATACTCTAATAATAATGTAGACACGCTCCTTTTGGTTATTGTAAATACAACGAATTAAACACGTATTTGATTTTTTTTTTGTGTGACTTTAAAACATTTTAAACCTTTTTTGTTACATGTTTTAATTATTGATCAATATCCGAATTTTCAGAGTGACTTTCATTTTCAATATATCCTCATTGGAATATCATTGGTTATTTCTATCTTCATAATAGATTCCACAGAATTGAAGTTCATTTGATAGTTTTGCTATCAACTTATAAATAAAATTATCCAACTAGATTTAAAATAAAATGAACAAATAAAAAGGGTATAAATCAAACAGTCAAAGACTAGATTTGTTACCATAGTGCATGCTTAGAATAATTGGAAAATAGAGATTTCTTAACATAAATAGATAGAGCCAGGTCAAAACGTGACAAACGAATACAACTGTTGGTGGCAGAATCGAAATTAATCCACAATTCTCTCTATTCCCCGCCGAAAATTTCAGACTCATCGAACGCCTAAAAAAACCCTTACGTCACTTCCTACCAAAACTACGAAAACACCCCTACACTCTCTGTCTCAGAGAAGGGTATTCTAGTCTTTTACAATATCCCTCTCAACAGTCCAATCAAATTCAAATTCATTTGTTGACATAATAATCCACGTCAGGAACTGCACGCTTATTCAACGATGTCGTTTTGTGATTCTACAAAAGGAAAAAATAAATATTTTTGCCGTTTTGTCGCTTTTTAATTAAATAAAAACTCTGGGAAAAAAAACAGAGACGTTTATTTCCTTCTCTGCAATTCTTCTTCTTCTTCTTCTGTTCACTCATCAAAACCAATGATGATAAAATCACTCATAAATTAGGGTTTCTTGTGGTGACTGGTGAGTGGTGAGTGAGTGTTCAGGCGTCGTTAAAATCTACCAGTGGTTCGTTTTTCTCTCTGTTTCTGTGTTAAAGAGAGATAATGGAGATGGAGACGGAGACAGAGACGGAGTCCGATGAAGATATGGAGATGGAGACAATGGTTTTTGAAGTGACTGAAATTGATTTGGAGTATGAGTTTGATGCTTCTCGTTGGTTTGATTTTACTCGAGAGGAGTTGTCTTTGGAGTCTCGTGCTGCTGAACTTTGGTTCGAGACCGCTCAGTCTTATCCACCTTCTCGTGAGTATTATCGCTTCAGGATTTTGATTGTTTTTTTTGTGATTAGTCTCGTTTTCGTGAAATGTGTGTTAAAGTTTGGTTTGTGATTACGTCATCTTACGCAATGCGGTAATAACGATGGGTGAAATATTTGACTCGAAATTTTAAAGATGTTTAATTGAGATATAATCTTCGTTGTAATCTTCTTTTTTGTTTAGGAATCTGTTATTCTGATGATTAGATTTTGATTTTATTCGTGTCCTGAATTGACAATTTCATTACAAATGCAGAGAGTGTCTTGTTAGAATCAAAGTGTGTTTATGTCTGATTCATTTTGTGTTTTGTTTTTTTTTTTCAGCTTTTGCTATGAAACTGTTAATGAAAGAGGAGAGTTTTTCTGATGAAAAGACTGAGTCTTTGTCAAAATCCGAAGATGGGGAAGTTATAGTAGATGTTCAGGAGAATGACAGAGAAATTTCTCAGCAACCAGATGTGAATGAAACAGGTGAATGTAGGATGTTTTGGGTTATGTTTCTGAATCTCTAAACTAGTTTACTGGTTTTAGCATTGTATAGGTTTTGGGTAACAAAGTTGAAGACTTTACAAGTTATGGTTCTTGTTTTGTTTCAGGAAATGGAATGAGGTCTGGGGTATTTACATTCATTCAAGGTGGTGGTACTTTAAACAAAGTTCCAAATCAGTCCTTACTTAAAGGTAATTCACTTTTACTAAAGGAGAACACACATGTGGTTCAGCTATTTTTTTATGGTTATGAATTATTGTCTAACCTCTGATCTTTTCTTTGGTATTTTACTTTATTGATCAAACTCATTTTCTCATACTTGAATACATTATTGCTGGTGGTTTTGATTGTTTTACTTTTGCCTCCTGTCTAAGTTCTCACTTTCTCTACTTCTACCAGGACCTACATTTAGCAATCGGATTCATTCTGATAAACTGAAATGCCGACCAAAGTCAAGTATCAGGCCAATACCGAGAAGCTCGACATTGATGAAACCGACTGCTAGCCTATTAGCAAAACAAGATAATGCCAGGTGAGTATGAGAAACATAATTTTCTTGTTATCTTCCTTCTATCAACTTAATTCAATGAACTTAATACTTGGTTGTTCTGTTGATCTCCTAGAATGCAAGTGGATGAAATTAAGTGTCCTTCATCTGAAATTCAATCTGCTAAAAGACAGAAGCTCGATGGTGGTCTACTTCGTAAGGTTAGAGTTTCTAGTAGCCATGAGTTTCGTTGTATCAAGTTCCTTTAAGAATTATATGATTAAAGCATTTGACTAGTGGTAGTAATAGATTTTGTGCTTATCTATCTATTCGTAGACCTTCAAATAAGCTCTCTTCTGTTTCAGGTTGCTGAAGCGACGCAGGAAACGAATTTGGTCCACAAGACACTCAAGAAGGTTCTTATCTGTTTCTTGAGTTCTCCTTCAACTTTCTTGTTGGAAAAGAGAAGTGAGTGTAAATTATTCGATTGCTTGTTATATGGTTTTGCAGGATCTTGATAGAAACTCACTACATGCTAGGATGAAGATTACTGTCCCACAGGAGCCTGATTTTGCAACATCACATAGAGCAAATAGGATACGGTTAGGATCTATACATGGGATGATAGTAAATTGTTATGGCGAAAGGTCACACACCTCACTGGCTGTTTTACTAATGATTGTTTCAGGCACAAGGGCACTGATAAGTTGGACCAGGACTCAACATCAGTGTATAGATTCAAAGCACGCCCCTTGAACCGAAAAGTTAGTATCTGCTAAGTACTTAACATGGAAGCCATTTCTTTATTGTATCCCAGCTCAAACATGTGTGTGTTTTCTGTAGATCTTCGACGGTCCATCATTGCCCATTCGGAAAAACAGCACTCCTAAACTACCTGAATTTCAAGTAAGCATTAGAAACTAAGTAGGGCTGGTCTTACTCTATGTTTTACATGCCTAATAATTATTACTTTAGATTATATTACTTGTGGTTGTATCAGGAATTTCGCTTAAAGACTTCCGAAAGAGCTATGCAACATTCATCAGCAGTATCAACACCGTCTTATCAGGGAACTAGTTATCGTAAGGTTATACACCAATTGAACTTACTTGAAACCATATCATGTTTACAAGATTATTTCATATCAATGTGTGTATCCTAAAATAGGATCTAACTGATATTCATCTTTCATCTGGACCACTCAATCTTAAAGGATAGAATTTTTCTTTTTGACAGGAGTCAGATAAGCCTAATAGGACAGCATTTCTTGACGGTGTTAACAGGGAACCAAGAAGGTATGATACTAAAAAAATACGAGGGGCTCTTCTTGCTTTTTTACTCCAACTTTTATATGATAGAACTGTGATTATTCTGCGAGTTGAATTTTAACAGACCAAGAGCTATGGATATACCTAAGGATGATGATAGAAAACACCTCTTCAAAGCTCGGCCTCTTAACAATAAGGTATAATGTTTTCTTTCTGGTGTTGCATTTGCTTACATAAATTTTTCATACTAATAGATATACTCATATAGGGTTCATTTCCATTAAACAGATACTTTCAAGTGGGCGAGACATTGGCATTTTCGGAAAAAGCAAGCGAGAAACTACAGCTCCCTTGGTATGTCAGTCTATCGATTATTCTTTACTCTATATATATATGTCTATGTAGAGGTTTCCTACAATAGACTCAAACTGTTCTTAGACTCAAACGCAGGGGTTTAGTTTTCACTCGGAAAGGAGGGCTCAACCAGATTTGCCAACAGACCTTTTCAGTAAGGTTCGATTCGCGGTTCCCGAACAAGATATTTTCGTCAATAGTTATCTGATGAATCCTAAGTTTTCTTACTTTGTTGTTTTACTTTACAGCTCTCTTTATCATCCGAACTTCGGCCTAACAATGGTTCTCGCTTAAGATTTCCTCAGCCTGAACAAGTAAAGGTGCAACTTGTGATTTCGTTTCATTTGACTATATGTCATTTAGAAAAATATCAAGTTTTAACAATCGTTTTCTTGGCATAAGGTCTCAAAGGAAAATAGACTGAACTCCTTTCAAGCAGGGAATGAAGTAAGTTGTTGATTCAAGCTTCTTCTACTACTACTGCCACTCACAGTTTCTTTGATCATTGATCGATGTAAGTGCATTGCAGAGAACAAGCAAGTTTACGGGAAAACCGATGGTACAACACGGTGTAGTTCCTGAAACTAGCCGGCAATGGACTTCTAGGAGTGGTAAGCTCGAAGCAACGGTGCAACTAAATTAACAAGTAATATACAAAAGAACACTACTATATATTAGGGCTTCTTTTATAGCTTTGGGGATCATTTTTGTTTTCGATTTGGCAGGTGTTCTCGCTGATCGTAGAAAAGAAAATCCTTAGTTATAGGAATCATCTCCATTTTTTGTAAATTAAGACTTGGTTCTCTTAGGTGACAACTATTCAAAAAGAAGGCTAACATTTTGAAGAACTAAAATCTGTCTCTCAAGGGGTGTGGTGTGACATTGTGGTCGGTTATATTTTGGCAAAGGAAATGTACATTGTGGATAAACTCATTTCTTGATATACAAAGAGAGGTTCAACATCACTTGTGGATTTTTGAGACAATATTTGTTAACTATTATATGTATTGCTCCGTAGATTAGCTGGACTCAGTAGATCAGTTTCCTCCTTGAGACTTGGTTCTCTTAGGTAACAAATATTCAAAACGAAGGTTAGAGTTATGAAGAATAGTGACAAGTGACAAAAAGTCAAGTTTAGAAGTTAATCTCTATACTATTAAAAGAGAAGTACAATTGAAAATGGGTCGGGTTAAAATCAGAAAATTAACCCGAAATTCTGAAATCGGATCTTTGAAATTTTTTTGGAATATAAATTCGAATTAATAATGAAAAATTGAAATAAAAACAAATATTTATGGAAATCAAATAAAATCTGATTGTACTTATGGTAACTAATAATAAAAGCATATTCCAAACAATATTATACATTAATTACGTATAATAAATTTGTTCATATATTTTTGGGACTAATTCCATAACAATCAACGTTTTTGTCATTAATTTCGCTCATTTTAGCCAATTATCATTAATTGAAAGATATTTTACTTGCTTCTAAAGATTTTTAGAAAAATTATCACAAATAACCCATCTGTTTTATAAACTAAATTGATATTTTTATTTTGGTCGTGTAAATTAAATAGATATTTTTATTTTGGTCGTATACATTAAATAGATATGAAATCCATGTAACTAATTTTAATTTAATTAGATTAATCGAAATTATGATATTTTCATACCTATAGCTTACCAAAGAAGTTTAATTTTCAATTTATAAAGATTTCTTGAATATGATTTTAGAATTATTCAACAAGATGATAAGTATTTATTAAATTTTGTGAATCATGAAAAAAATAATTAATTTTTAATCATTATACTTCGGGGGGTGTATTGGAACTAGGATTTTAGAAAATTTTGGGTTTTTACTAAAATCACTTGTTATTGAATTTGTGATTTTCAAATCTCTTCTCAAATCCAATGTTATTGAAATTGAGATTTCAATAAAATCACTCACAATCTCTTGTTATTCAAACTATAATTTCTAAACTTGATATCAAATCAACTGTTATTGAAAACACAACTTTGTTTTTTTTAAAAAGCCATAACATTGATTTTGGGAGACTTTGGAGTTTGGATACAATTTTACATGAGAAATTCAATTAAAGAAATCACACCTTGAGAGGTGTTATTTGGAAAAAACTTCTTTTAACAAAATAAACATAAGAAAAGTTGTCCTTTCACTTTCTCATTCTCATCGTCAAAAGTCAAAACAAATCTGTCACTTTTTTTTGTTCTTCACTTGCAGAAAAAAAAACAAAAAAAGATTTCAATGGCAAATCAAATTCATTACCAACAAAATCTCTCTCAGTTTCAAGTTTTTAATTTGAAGTCCTAATACAAAAACATAAACTTTTTTAGAACCACAACACACCATGATTTCTTTATCTTTTACCACAAACAACGTTGAACGTGTTTTGGAACGTGTTGCAGAGAGAATCCAATTTTTCAATTTTTTTGTAAAGCAACGTTGCAAAGAGATCCCAAATTTTCTAGACAATGTTGGAGATAAGTTTTTTTTGTAAATCCAGTTTTCCTATTTTTGTTTTAAAAATTTCACCAAATCATCCAATATTATCTCTTAAATCTCACCAAATAACAAACTAGTATTTCCTTTTCTAAAATGAAAATTCTAACAATTCCACCAAAAGTATCCTAAAAAATCACATAACTTTCTCAAAATCCAAAATTTCCTAAATTCCACCAAATCCACCCAAATCTTTAATTCAATACACCCCCCTTCATCTTTCAATCTCTCATCTAACAAATAAGATACATATTATATTATTACTATGTCCAAACTTCATTTTGTTGTATGACTAAATAATATTCCCATTAGAACTGTCAAAGCGAGTTGATTCGTCCCGTTAAGTCCGTTTTGCGATAGACAAAAAATATTTTGACTTGTAGTTAGTCGGTCCGCACGACCCGCGGGTAGCATATATGAAATACAAACCCGTCCCGCGAATGTATGCGAATTTGCGGGATTGTCCATGGATTTTGTTTAAATAATTTTAAAGTAACTAAAATTTAAAATACTACTAAAATAAATAAATCAATCAAAATACTATTAAAAGTTTGTTTAAATTACCACATGTTGAATAAATTATAATTTTATCAATAAATACTAATATGCGGGCTGATCCGCCAACCCGCGGATGAAAACAGATTAAACCTATGACCCACTGCGAATTAATCCATGTGGCCTGCTTATTTGCGGGTTTAATATATTTTCCCAAATCTGCCCCATAGTGAGATGATGTGGGCTCGACCCGCGGTTTTTGACCAATTTTGACTGCTCTAATTCCCATGAATCGTCTAATTTTAGAATTTTAAAACACAAAATTCTATTTTGTAAATCATAATTAATACGATGGGTATATTTATAAACAATTTTACATTTTCTCTACAATTCGTTATTATGAATATTTATAAGTATACTACACGATTCGTTCTACTAAAAAACACACACAATATTAAACGCAACGTATGTAAACCAATATTCTCCCGCGGTGGACCGCGGGTCCGATCCTAGTAACATAATCAAGAAGCAAGCCGATGGAGCGGGTTTAGCCAGTGTGGTTGGTAGCACGGACTGTGAAAAGTAGAGACAGTGAGCACCACCGAGATTGTTATTGGCATACATTGGATACATGGAGTTCATATACTCCTCGCAACCGCTAAGTCTCATGATGCAACCATCCATAGACTTGTTCTCCTCCTCATCTTCTTGTGAGTCCTCAAATTTCACAATACAAGACCATTCTTGTTTCTACTCTACAAGTATATGATCTCGGAGTTCAAAGAATGCATCACCACAGGGAAATAATTAGCACCAGACCTGATCAAAGACGAGTTTGTGTTGAGTTCCCACAAGAGTGTCGATCTGTGATTTACTCCTATCATTTTATGTAATGATAAAAGGAAAAAATCAAAAAATAATATTGGCTTCGCCCGGGTTCGAACCGGAGACCTTCAGTGTGTTAGACTGACGTGATAACCAACTACACCACGAAACCTTTTTGCTCCTCTGATCTGTTACGTTCAATTTATAATAAAAACCAAAAAAAGAACCCATTAACGTTTACACGTGTGATTCGACACGTGTTGAATTTTCCCATCTTCTCCGAGGAGTGTGAGTGAGAGAATTGCTTTCACGTTTTTCATCGATGGCTGGCTTCCGCTTTACTCTTCTTCCCTCGCGGTTACTCGCGTGTTATTCACGCGCTTTCCCTCATCGTCTTCATCACCATGCAGAGCTGATTCTTCGCTGCAAAATGTCTTCTTCTTCCCCTCTCACTCATTCCATCACTCTCCCGAGCCAACCCAACGAGCCTGTCCTTGTCTCTGCAACCTCTGGAATCTCTTCTTCTGATTTCAGGGATGCGATTGATTCATCTCTGTTTAGAAATTGGCTAAGGAATTTGGAATCAGAGACTGGAATTTTAGCTGATGGTTCAATGACATTAAAGCAAGTTCTTATCCAGGTATATAAAGATATGATGATGATTATGACTAATGATCAAATATATAGAATCTTGGAGCTTTCTTGAGTAGTTAATGATTTTAGGGAGTTGATATGTTTGGCAAAAGAATTGGTTTTCTCAAATTCAAAGCGGATATTTTCGACAAGGAAACTGGTCAAAAGGTATAATCTCGCTTGCTTTAGTACTTGTTTATTTTAGTTTTTTCTTGCCATATATGTAAGCTAATATGCCATTAGGTTCCAGGTATTGTATTTGCACGGGGACCAGCTGTAGCTGTGCTTATTCTCTTGGAGTCCAATGGTGAGACTTACGCGGTTCTCACTGAACAGGTATCTATTTATGTTCGTGTAGTTTTCTTTTTTCAGAAATACTAGTAAAGAATGTTTTTTTTGAATGATTGAGTTGAATGTGGAAGATAACAAAGATTACATTTTACGGGTTTTTTGAAGGTTCGAGTTCCTACTGGGAAGATTGTTCTGGAATTACCTGCTGGAATGTTGGATGATGATAAAGGTGACTTTGTTGGTACTGCAGTTCGTGAGGTACCTCTATCTTTGTTTAACCCTTGACAACTTTGCTAAAGAAATTGAATGTTATTGAAGTTTTGAGTTGATATGCTTTGGATTTTGGTTGTTTTTACCAAAGGAAGCTGAAATTGTAGACAAGTCGAAGTATAACTCAAAAGGAGTCTGACAAACTTTCTGGACTTGTGTTTTGCGCAAGTTATATGACTTTTGCTTCTTGGGTATATCAGGTTGAAGAGGAGATTGGTATAAAACTGAAAAAAGAAGATATGGTTGATCTCACGGCTTTCCTTGACCCATCTACAGGTTACCGGATCTTCCCTTCGCCTGTGAGACATCTTGTTCTTAATCCATCTTCTGTTTTTTGGTATATCATTCTCTGTAATAAGCTGCAGAAACTCAACATTCTTTATCTCGTAGTTTGGAATCTGATGAATTGTTTCTCTTGGTATCTCTGGTTCAGGGAGGCTGTGATGAAGAGATGAGCGTGTTTCTTTACAGAGGACAAGTGGAAAAAGAAACAATCAGACAGTTGCAAGGCAAAGAGACAGGACTCCGTGAACACGGAGAGTTCATCAAAGTCCGACTCATCCCATACAGAGAGCTCTGGCGCAAAACAGCTGACGCTAAGGTTCTTATGAGCATTGGGCTCTACGAAATGGCTCAGAGGGAGGGTCTCGTGTCCAGTCACTGAAACCCAGATCTTGATCTCCTACAATTCTCTGAAAGATATATATATATATAATAACTGAATTCAGTCAACCAGATGAGATAGATTGAGATTAGACGTTCTTATGTTGTAAAAGGAGCTTTTAGTTCCTTAAGATAAAGGTTATGGCTTTTATAACTTGGTACCATGAAAACTTGGGAATTTATCTTTAAAACAAAAGATTTTACAAACCCAATTTAGGGTTTAGGTTTCCAAAAGTTTACATGTTGCCATATTTGAAGTTGAAACTGTACACGTTTTGGCAATCAAAAGAAGAAACTTCTAGTTACAGTCTTCTGGTTTCAGTAGAACACCAGGCCAAATGAACATGTTACAACATGACAACAACTTCTCCATCACCGTACAATCGAAATGGCATAACATATTCTTATGCATTTTGATGTGATTTTTGTGGTAGAGTTGCGAGTTTTGTAGTTGAACCCTAGGATGAATGCCGTCCTCTCTTTCTTGATGATGGCTGATCTTTCGAAGAACCATTGCTTCTGATAAAATGGCAGAGATAGAGAAATTTAGAGAAGGGGAAAATGAAGATTTCTTGGCTTATGAGCAGGTTTGTAGGCTTACACATCATCTGTTTTACTTGATGGCTCTTGTATGGCTCGTGATTGTGGAATCACCTGCAGAGAGAGAGAGAGAGAGAGAGTTTACTGCGTAAGAATCAACGGACGATGATCCATACGAAGTTATGAGCATCTCCAGGATAATATGATAAAACATGAATCAAGACAGCCTATAAATGTTGAAAGAGAGTAAGGAAACTAAAGTAATTATCAGGTCAAGCCACAAATTTAATCCGAAAAAAACGCAAGAATGAATGTTGAACAGTGATGGATAAAACATACTGACAGGAAGACCAAGTTGTTTCATGCATCTGCTGTGGGTTTCAACGTATTCTTCATAAGACTGCAAAAACAACAAAAAACACAATCACAAGACTTTGTCAAAGCTTAAACAACAACAAAACCTGAGCTCATGATGCTTCTCAAGAAACAGAGCAAGTCCTGACACTGAGATATGTAAGTAATATGGATCAGAAAGAGCATACTGAAATAGCTGAGAGTTTGAAAAAATACTACAAATGTTTTCACCAAGTTTCCAGTAGTGTGTCATGACTATTTTTGATTTAACTAAACAACATAACTTACAAAAAATATCTAATCCGAGAACAAGAGGTCGTGATGGGATGGAATTCTCAGCATAAATTACAAGCAGATATGCCACTACCATGTCAAGAAAATCATCATCGGTTAGGGAATTCGCAAGAGGGCTTTCCAAAGGCAAACACCATGAGTTGAATCGTAAAGACTTTTCTTGCTCCGTGCGAGAGTTAGATGCACCTGATGATGTATGGAGATATTCCGAGGAAACTCCATATCCTATCTGGTGTGCAAGATGAAATCTGCTGAGGTCATCCTGGTTTGCATAGACGGCAGGAGGGTAAGGCATCGGTGTATGGCCCCAAAGATTGTTATTGTACTCTTCGTCTCCTGAGGAAGATGGAGGTTCTGCGCGGGACTTTTTTGTAGAATAATCATCCCTAGAAGAGCTGTGAGAGAATAGAATCAAGAACAAGCAGATCTAAGAACCAAAAACCCCACTTAGACTTCGAGGAGATACCTATTCAGCAACCCATCATCGCAGCTATTTGCATCAAGGAGTTCACAAAGTGCTTCACCGATATCTTCAGGTAATTCCTAGAGCATGCACACATTAAAAGAACTTCAAATCAAGTCATTTTCATAAACCTTAAACTATTCTAGCCTGAGCCATTATATGGTTTTAAGACAACCAATGCATAAATTTTAGGAAGTGAAACAAATAGAAGAAACTTTAGGCATACCTGGCAATCTCGGCTAATCTTGACAGGCTTGTAATCATTCAAAGGATTTTTGAGATGAAGTGTTTTCTGAAAAGGCAATTCACTCAACCGCAACCATTTTACTTTAAAACTACGTCCCCAAGGATTGTTTTTACCACCTCCCTGGCTCCATATATGGTCTCGCCTCCATCCCACAGGAGACAACATCTCTGCATACCCTTGGAAGAATCCACTCATGTTCACGCTGAAGATTAAAATCACTCTGCCAGATTTCTACTTAAAAGAATATAAAGTTAGTATACTTGACAAGATTCCAGAACAGTGCAAATTAACAAGGAGAGATTCTTACGTGAAAAGCGCCTTCCAATATTGGCTCATTCATAACTTGAGTAGCCCAAATCCCTTTCTCAACTGACACTTGTATATTATCATAATTCAGACTTTTGATGATGAAATATCTCGTCTGGTACCCCGGTTTACTATTCTTATTCGGGTTAGAACTTTCTAATTGATCAGAAAAGTTACGTCGTTCAACTTCCACTTTGGACAGTTTATGGTCTTCTTTGCTTCTGTGACTTGAACTCTCTGACAAAATTACAACAAGACAGACAAAATTAACGCAAATTTCCAAGAAAAAGACAAGAAAAAGCTAATAACAAGACATGCTTCAAAGTTTACCTGGATCATCAGAGTTTCCTATATCTTGTTTCCAATCAGTCAAAGATGAATCGACAACAGACGCATTTTCCTTAGCAGTATCAGAAGACATGCCTCTTTAAACTCTATATTAACACACACAAGACCAAAAACACTAAATTTAAACGATAAAACTTGGTAGCAAAACATAAAGTAATGAATATCAATCAAAAGCAATAAAATCCACTCTCATCAAAGAGAGCAGCATAAAGATCAATCACCACCACAAACAGAAGTCACATTAACTCATTTAAAGAACAAGAATACAACATGAGTTGAATCAAATCACAGTGCAACAATAAACATAACCAGAAAAATTCACACTTTACATGATAAAATTGGCTACGTTCCAGTGTAGTTAGTAAGCATGATGTAACCAAATCAATTAGTTACTAAATTAGTGTAGTAAGCATTAGTCTACTACAATGAGAAATTAGTATTCATGAACTAATTTAGGAAGTTCAACAGTAACCAAGGAGATGTTATTTACGATCAGAATGTCATAATCAAAAAAATTCAAAAGAAATAGTATCAAACTAAATTCAGAAACCTATTTCTTCCTCTATTGATTGTTCACCAAAACCAAACAGAACCCAGAACCCCAAATTCGATACATGAAGAGAAAACAATAAGCCATTTTGATACATTCCTACAATAATTCCAACAAAAAGTAACGGAACCCATTGAACAGTCGACAAATTACAGTAAGAATTTGAAGAACATAGAACAGTACAGTTATCAGTAGAAAAAAAAAAACGAACCTTGAATTATCAAAGCTTTTGGGATAACGAAAGAGAGAGATAGAGAACACAAGTGAAGAAGAAGAAGAAGAAGATACTAATTTTATTTATGTATTTTAAAAATCCAACGAAAGCCCTAATCTTCTCTGTTCGCTTCTTCTCTCTGTTTTGTTTTTGTATTCATTTTTTTTTTTTTTAGTTTCTTCTTCTCTCTCTCTCTGGATTTGGTTGGCTCTGATAATGGTAGGGTTACGTGTAGGTGAGGAGAAATGTAAATTGAACGGGCAGGATGCGGTTAGTGATTTAATCTAACGGTACAATATTTGGCTGTTAAAGGGTTAAGTAAACTGCTGGTGTATTGTAAAGTAAATGGGCTCAAATTAGATAAATGGGCCAACATCAAATTTCTTTTAACGTTGAGGCCTACTTCATTATTAGGCCCACTCACATAACGATCAAATGGCATGGGCTATTATAACAAACAGTGCCGTGCCAGAGTTATAGTGGCTGCACCTGGTATGGTAATGACAAACAGTGCCGTGCCCAGAGTTATAGAGGCTTATGGCAGTTTTAAAAATTGTGGCCTTTTTTTTAGTATTATCTTTAAAATGTACCAAAAATTAATAAGTGAAAATTTATTATATAGAAATTCTAAACATTAATATTTGTGTCTTCTTTTATTTTCATTCAAAAAACTCACAAAATCAAATATTTGAACCAATTTATTCACTATAAATATGAAAATCAAACTATTTAACCTCTCTTCTCACTACATAATTTTAGCTGCATGCATTTTTTAAACAGAAAACCTCAAATACATAAATATCAATCTAAATAAATAGCTTATTTTTGAACGAAATGTGGCCTTTTATTTTTCCATTTTCATGTGGCCTTAGACAATTGCCTATCTTTTAAAAGTAGAGGCATGTCACTGAAGATAAAGATAGATGACAACTACTTACTTTGTCTCTTTGTCTAAAAGAATCGGAGTGCTCAACACCCGAACAACCGAAACTAAAGTTATCTTAGCAGCTGCCTTTTAGCAAACAAGATCAAACGACAGAAATTTTGATGGCTCATGCAACTAAACTATCCCTCTTTGTTTGTCTCCTCGCACTAAATTAGTGGCACATCTAGAAAATAATTTAGTATGGGACAATCTTCTTATTTATTTGAAATATATTTTTATCAAAAGTATTACGTATTGTAGTCGTTATCAAAATATAAAATTCGTGATAAAAATAAAATATGAAGTTCATCAATACATATAATTTATTTCTCATTACATATGTAGGTGCATATATATATAATTTCACAATTTATTTTCACGTATCACTAGATTTGCAACAAAAATGACAAAAAAGAAAGAAATATATCACTAGACATATAATATTTAATCAATTAATGAAGAATTACTAAAACAAATTTAAAACTGACAACTAAATAAGGAAGTTGGAGTTAAGTATTGGTAACCTAAATAATAAATGATTAAATTTTCTATAAATTAATGTGTGGTGGAAAAAAATACATGTCAAAAGAATTATGAGGCACCATCCTAACTGGCACCTGGGTATGGGGCAGTGATAGCATACACTACCAATTATGTTGAATAAATCTAAAAAAACTCTACAAACTAAAGTTTATATACTTAACCTGGGGCAAAGTTTATATACTTAACCTGGGGCATGTGCCCCACCTCCAGGTAACGTAAATCCGCCTCCAAGTAAGGCTTTTTTCTCTTCCCTTTCTCACTCTCATCGTCTTCATAGGGGACTAAGAGGATTTTTTTTCTCTTCCTCAGTCTCACATACGATCAACTAATATCTAATATGGCTATAATTAAAAAATTGTTGAGAAGTTAAATTTGAGCTATCAAAATAATATTGTGTGTGCCTAAAATCATAAATCTATGAAAATTTAAGCTATATCTAGTCAAAAATAGTATATATCGAATGGATTGTATAAATCAGTCCACAATTAATTTGGTTTTATATTGATTATTATATTTTTGAAACTAAATATTCAAAAAAACAAAAAACAAAAAATTAACCAATTTAAAAGATAGGAGAAAAAAACTGTGAAACTCAAAATAGAAAAGCAAAGAGTTCAAACCAAACTCTAGCCAAATTAAAAAAAAAAAGCACTTTACATTTGGCTAATTCACCAAATAAAATCTCAAATTCATGGCGCACACCCAAGATTTTGCGAAGTTTATGTTGACTAAGTCATTTTAAACTCAAAAAATCAGTTAGTATATTCTTACAAACTATTAATGTTATTTTTCGATAGAAGTAGTTCACGCGACATAAAATTTGTGATTTTTTTGGGCGTTATAAACTTAAAATTTTATTTGGCTAATTATATGAGACATCCTTTAGTTCGGATTGGGACACCCTTACCAAATTATATGATATCACAACAACTCGTCAAAAACTCTCAATTTATTATGATTTTAGTTATAGTTTTTTTTTGTATAATTTACTTCAATTTCTACCTAATCTTTTTTTTTTAAACTTGGTATATTAAAAAGTCGTTTTTTGTGAATAATCTAAATATTATAATACAATATTTTCTGACAATTTACCAACATTAAAGATTTTTCTTATTTTTTCAAGCTTTTTAATATATAAAAATTACCGAAATTCAACATTATTTTGTATTTTTCTCTTAAGAAAAACCTATAAAATATGGTAAAAAATAAAGTGTCAAAAATACTTATTGAAGGATATTTATTGACGAGAAAAAAGAAAAGAAAAAACTGGATTTTAACTGAAAGAAATAAAAAAATAACTGGATATTAATTGCTGACGTGGAACACTTAATCGCCACACGATCCAACTTCTCTTATCTCCTCCTAATAAGTCCTAATTTTCCCTCCAAACACGTTGAAAAAAAAAAAATCAGAAGGAACCTGAAATCATCACCATCTCAATTCTCAACCACACAAATCCAAAGCTTCCAACTTTTTTTTTTCTTCTTCTTCCCAGACAACGATCTCACTCAATCATCTCTTCCCCGGAAGAATAAAGAAAAACGATGGCCTTTACTCTAACAATCCCTCGATTTTCTGCAATTTCTCGCAAACCCATCACTTGTTCTTCTTCGAAGACTGCTCACTTTACTCATGGACGATCGATTTCTCTCAGAAGAAGACTTCTCTTATTGCCCCTTAAAGCTTCTACTGATCAATCAGGTCTCGACTTTGATTTCCCTCTTTAAAGTTTCATTTTTTTTTGAAGATTGTGTGAAAAAAAAAAGTTTTGATTTTGCCTCTGATCTTTGTTTGTGAACAAAATTGGTCTGAAAAAGTTTTGATCTTTTTTTAATCTTATCATAGAAGATAATTAGGTTAAAATCTTTTTATGACTTGTCTTCAGGTCAGGTTGGTGGGGAAGAAGTTGATAGCAAGATTTTGCCATATTGTAGCATCAACAAGAGTGAGAAGAGAACAATCGGAGAAATGGAACAAGAGTTTCTCCAAGCCATGCAAGTAACACACCAAATAAAGTGTTTATTTGTGTTACTTTTTAATATGTTAGAGAAGTTTTCAAAGTCTGAGGATTGTTTCTGTATCTTTTCTTATGCAGTCTTTCTATTACGAAGGCAAAGCGATTATGTCTAATGAAGAGTTTGATAACCTTAAAGAAGAGTTGATGTGGGAAGGAAGCAGTGTTGTTATGCTAAGTAATGATCACTATGATTTTATAGTTTTGTCATAATTCTTGATTCTTGATCTAATTTTATCCATGTACTGTAGGTTCTGATGAACAAAGATTTCTTGAGGCTTCAATGGCTTATGTCTCTGGAAACCCAATCTTGAGTGATGAAGAGTATGATAAGCTCAAAATGAAACTAAAGGTTGTTAATCTCTTTTAATGTTTATACTTACTAATACTAATTCTTAGTTTCTTCCATCTTGTTACATGTGTAAATTGGACAAGCGTTATGTATGATTGTGTCTTTTGTTTCTACAGATGGACGGAAGTGAGATTGTGTGTGAGGGTCCAAGATGCAGTCTTCGTAGCAAAAAGGTAAAAACTTTAAGATCAAACCGAAAGTATAATTGTTCGGATAGCTTATTTATTCTTTAGACATTACAGAACATAAGACAAATACTAGAGAAGTAGAGATGTTATAATCTTGTGACCTCCTTGATTATGCAGGTTTACAGTGATCTTGCCATTGATTACTTCAAAATGTTCTTGTTGAATGTACCTGCAACTGTTGTTGCTCTCGGACTGTGAGTACCACTGGCCCTGTTCCTCTCTCATTTTTTAAATCACATAATCTCAGCTTTTCTTAGTTCGTTAGTTGACTGTTTTCTTCAATTTTTCTCCAGATTTTTCTTCCTTGATGACATTACGGGTTTTGAAATCACGCACCTGCTCGAGGTAAAACTTCTTTCTACTCTTCCTTTTTGGTTTGGAGAAATATATACTCGTAATCGTTCCAATATTCTTGTAACTGATTTCTTAAAAAATCTGCAGCTTCCGGAACCATTCAGTTTCATTTTCACATGGTTTGCTGCGGTGCCTGCAATTGTTTATCTGGCGCTATCACTCACCAAACTGATCCTCAAAGACTTCTTGATCTTGAAGGTAAAACATTAATAATCTTCTCAAAAATGTTACAGAACCAAATCTTGTTTTCTCAATATGAAAAATGCATAAACAAGAAATTATATTCGAGATAATAATCTATTTCAGCAAAATACTACACTTGTAGATTGATTTAGTGACATATTCTATGATTTTTATGTGATTATGATGAAATGATTTTAATTTTCTTGGAATCTATCTTTCACAGGGCCCTTGTCCAAACTGTGGAACAGAGAATGTATCCTTCTTTGGAACAATACTTTCCATCCCCAATGACAGTAACACCAACAATGTCAAATGCTCTGGGTAAGCTACTCAGCTTTAGACTCGAATCGATCACAAAAATATATACAACATTTCTTAAAACCTTTTGATTCTTCTTGTTTAGCTGTGGAACGGAGATGATCTATGACTCAGGTTCTCGTTTGATCACATTACCAGAAGGAGGCAAAGCTTAAAACCTATGAGCCAAGGTTTGATTCTCATCGTCACTTTAAGTTTCTGATCAAATCATTCTTGATTCAATGGAAAGTTGAAGATTAGGTTTCTCTTTTTCTCAGGCAAATGTGGAAATGTATGTTAAATGATACTAACAGATGAAGAAAGTGGAGAAATTAAACAAGAAGAAGAAAATCAAAAGAGTTTGTTTGTGTCCTGTTTTGTATAATTCATGTGAAACTGTAACATCAAATATGATGTTGTAAATCATTAATAGGTGGTAGTCAAGGCCGGTCCAAGACTCTTTAAGAATTTTGTGAATCTATAACTCATTTTAGTATGATTTCTATTAATAAGATGAAAGATAAACAATAATAAGAGTTGGGAATTATTAATCTTTTGAGAGGAAACACAAAGGGAAAAAAGCCATACAAATATTATAGCATGCCAATTTCTATCTTTTTAATAAGAAAAAGGTGCAATGATGATAGATGATGATGATCATCGTCGTCGTCCCATGCCCTCTTCATCATGATTTACCTTCTTTTCTTACCATTAGACATAGCTCCCACATGCCTTCATATAGATATAACCCAATACTTGACTTTTTTTTCCAAAAGGTTAAATTTTGAAGAGGAGGTAATTATGTCATTTGTCAATATTTGTTTTGTTAATTCTATCCGGATTTTTACACAACATTCTGCATCATTGCCGTTTAAATGTTGAAAGAAAGAACCGTATCAAATTGTCGAAATTGGACATAAAAGTTTCTTCTTGTTCTGTGCTTATAATTAGGTTTTGACGGAAAGAGATCATTTTTAGCAAAATTTTCTTGTAAACCATGTTTTTCTCTTGGCTATTTCTCAGGTTATTACAGTAACACTTTTGTATAAGAGTGTGGGGCAGGCTAAGCATTTGTAAATGTATCATTATAGGATCGAAAAAAATGTAATCAAATCCTTCAAAATTAGTAAATAAAAAAATATATAGACTAATAGAAGCAATGATCTTACAAAACTACAAAGTATAAAGTAATGTCACGAGGCTAGAAAAAAGTAGGATAGTATTCTAAGCATTATAAAACATCGGTCATGCTTATTCATTATTATGTCTTAAAAATTAAATAAAAGATACATAGTATATACTATATACTGATCATGTCTGTCCCCAAAACACATGCCAACAAAGTAAAACATAATCAATATACTTCTCTCTTTCTTTCTTCTTGATCACTTCTCTCTGCAAAACCCTAACAACTTAGAATCTTTGGATCCTCTTCACATGGGCTCTATACCATTCATCTTCATCATTCTTCTTTTTCACGTACATAAATCCAAATCTCAGACGATAGAATCAGCACATTTTCTTGATCTTATGATAAGAGATTACACCATCAGAAACTTCAACATTCATTTCAAGACAGGAGCGATCCAGAAAATACGTCTTCCTTCGAATTTCTCCTCCATTGATATCGCCACGGCTAAGTTTAGATGTGGGAGTTTGAGAAGACACGGTGCAAGAATCGGTGAGTTTCACTTAGGTCCGGGCTTGACGGTGGAGCCATGTGTTGAGAGAGTGATTCTGGTGAGACAGAACTTGGGTTTTAATTGGTCTTCTTATATTTACTCAACCGGTTATAACTTAACCGGTTACAATTACCTGCTTGTGTCTCCGGTTCTTGGTTTATTGGCTTACAATTCAAACCCGGACGGTGTGGCTGTGAATCCTTATGAGATTAACGTAATGGGCACGGAACAAAACCCTATTTTGATCAAGTTCTTGAGTGGTAGCCCTAAACCTAATACGAAGAAGAACTCATCTCTCTTGTGTGCTTGCTTCACAAGTAATGGTAACATAACGTTTAGAGAGCAATTTTCAGCCTACGTTTGCTTGGGAACAACAAAAGGGCATTACGCGCTGGTGATTAGAGCTGATGATAGTAGTGGTGGTGGTAGTACGGTGGTAACACCGTCGTCATCTCCGGCGGTGAATGACGGTGGCGGAGGGAAATTGAGCCGGTGGAAAGTGGCGGTTGGGAGTGTGATTGGGTCAATGATTGGAGCGTTTCTGTTAGGGTTATTGGTGGTGGCGATGGTAGTGAAAGGGAAGAAGAAAGCGATGAGAGAGGAGCTGGAGAGAAGAGCTTATGAAGAAGAAGCACTTCAGGTTTCAATGGTGGGTCATGTTAGAGCTAATCCTAATGCTTCGAGAACAAGAACGGTTCCAAGATTTGACAATACTAGGTACAGTAACAAGTAACAACAAACTTAAATTAGGTAGATCGTCTTTCTTGATATAATGTTTTCCATTTTTAGTGTTCATTGAACTCTTTTTTTTTTTGTATTTATGTTGGACTGTAACTTGAAAGATCTTCATCATTTAGGAGACATAATATATGGAATTAACTGTATTGAAAATATTGTAACATGCTTTCAGTTGTTTTGGGCTAGTTGGTTAATTACATACATGTATGTTATATGCCATTTTGAAATCTAACAAATTGTAGTAATCACCAAACGTGTAGACATATTCACATTGTGTTTCGTTTTTTGGCTATCAGCATCACCATCATTGTGGTCTGCACAGGGACGGATCCAGACATATAGTATGGGGCACTGTTATAACTAATAATTAAATTAGAGAGTATTTAAATAAAATTTATTCTAGTTACTTAAGAAAAAAAAAAAAATTAGAGTAGGGCAGATGCCACACCTTGGGTCTTCATGTGTCCTCAGCATAACCATGCAATTCCATTTTAGACTTTTTGAAAACTTATAATACCTTTGAAAATCCACTTAACAGTTTTTCAATGTCTCTTTTCGTTGTTGCTCATAAACAAGCTAACAATTTCCAGTTTCCAATTTCCCAATAGCATGAATGTAGTTAAAATCTTATAACCATCTCATTTTCTGCGTAAAAGCGAACAGTAAAAGAATAATTGGCTTCTGTGTCATCCATTGTTAAAACTAAAACATCTTGGTAAACTTTCACATAATCATTTTGTGACAGTTTGAATCCTCATTGCATGTATTGATTCTCATCCCAAGAATTAGTTATGCTTCGCAAATCTTTTATCATAAATGTTGGAAACAAACCAACATCCCACATCGGAAGATTATAATAGAATTGTCTAATATATAAGTCAAGTCCAACTCCAGTCAGTATAAAACATTTGGGAAAGAGCCCAAAAACAAATCCATGCGGGCTTGGTCTCTTGGGCCCAAAACGGACAATAGCCTTAATTGCTTGGTCGCTCTTGTCCAATCCAACCATTAAGGCGATGTACGATTACGCTATCTCGGATGAGGATAAAGCATAATCGTACTTCGCCTTAGTGGTTGGATAGGATAAAAACGACCAAACAATTAAAGTTTTTTTTAGTATCTTCATGTCTAAATGGAAAAGGGTTAACGTTAGCGCAAATAGAGCTAACCGTATTTTTTAATGTATGTATATAGTTCAGAAATTTTCATTTAGTTCAGTTTTAGACGGTAATTAATATGATAACTTTTGTAAATTTGAATTACCTTTTATTTTACGGGAAACGTTAACCATTATTGATTATATATATTAAATATTTTCTATTCATTTCATAGTCAAATATATTTAAAGTTTTGACTATATTGAGAGATTTTCTACAAAAAATTAAATCATTTTGAATAATAAGTTTAGCAGTAATTATAAGTATTGTTCAAAAGTTTATTTGTTCAAGATTGACTTAACAATTTTCAACAATCTCTCATTAAAGTTCCATTTGTAGTGGTTGCTCTATAACATTCTAAAAATCAATCGAGAAAACACAACACTTTTTTTGTTTTGTTTTGTCGAACTAATACACAACACTCTAAACAGTGCAACTCTCTCCCTCTCTGTTCTGGAACTTAAAGGATACGCCTCAATCTTTCTTGGATACCAAGCGACTAACCTTTTATATGCAAACCCTAACTTTCTCTCTATTTCATTTTGCAGGTAAGGAGATGGGCCAACTGTAATAACTTCAAAGAGGATTTAGGCCTGATGAGAATTGGCTGAGGCCCATAAATTAACACATTTATATGCCTTTTACTTTGACCAAGTTTAGAAGAATGGAGGAAAATAAAGAGATGAATTTTGATTGATGAGAGAGGATGTAACAGAGAGAGTTACATCGTGAAGTAAAACCATGACGACAGAGAGAGAAGCAGAAGTAAAAAAATGGAGGGAATGTTGATATGCCGAAAGAAGGAGAATATACTAAAAGTAACAAAATGGATGGTTATTAATGAGAAATAAGCATGCACGAGATTACAATGAAATAACTAATGGCCAAGAGGAAATAAAAAGTAACAATAATAAAAGTTTGAGATTTAAGACAAGAAAATTTAACAGTAAAAATTAAAAGAAGAAGATGTAATACAAAGATATAGAGAAAAATGAAATTACAACCTCAGTTTATTGTATTTAAAAAGCAGCTCCCTGATGTCCATCAGCTCGTTGTTGTCGAGATCTGTATCTTCAGCAGTCTTGTCCTTATTTTTGCTTCTTCTTCAATGGTATAAATTTCAGTTTCCTTCCATTAACTATGCGTACTTTCGATGTTCGGCGCTCGTATTCATCATCATCGTCATCAGAAATAACTATAACCTCATCGTCAGGTCCAGGACCAACATTGTCTTTCTCCGGGACAGAGGAAGTGTCTTTCGATGGAACTACATTGTAGGAAGCCAGTTGTTTCTCCGCCGGCGGCAAGGGATTTTCTTCCGTTTCCTTAAACTTTTTAAAGTACTTTGATGCTGGCAAATCATAACAACTGAGACTATCCGCCTTTCGTTTTCTTGTGTCCACTTCACCTTTGCTACCCTCTCCGCAAAGACCACTATCATTGGTTATGTCACCGCTTTGGTTGTCTTCGTTGGACATAGCGTTATCGTACCTTGCCTTAGAGGTTGGATCAGACAAAAAAGACCAAGCTAACGAGGCTCTAACACGAGCTTTTTGGAAAAATGGGAAAGGATTGTTACTCGAGTTCAAGAGATTTATCAACTTCTCGAAATTTTCTAATAAAACTTTTGCAGAGAGACACTATGTTTTTATACTGAAAATGTGAGTAACGATTAAATAATAAATAGTGATTCAATATTTTGTTGAAGGTAATTAACATGCATGTTTTATTGAAGGTGTTTGTTATTAGTTTTTATTTGTATTTATTTTTTGAATTACCGTTTATTTCGCGGGAAAATATTGTTGGCTATAATTTATAATATATATATATATATATATATATATATATATATACACACACAAAAGTCAATTATTTTTTCAGAAATTTTCATTTAACTCGGTTAAAAGTTACTATTATGTTTCCAATAAAAATAGACAATAATTGATATGGTAAAGATATTTTAAAATTTTGAATTACTGTTTATTGTTCTATTTATTGAAATACTTTCTATACTTTGCATAGTCAACAATTTTTAAAGTTTTGACTAACCTAAGACTTCTGATGGTAAAATATATTATTTTTAAGTAATAAAATTTAATAACAATTATTAAGTTTGTTCACAATTTTTATATTTGTAAGAATAATATATATGATGTGTCTATCTTTAGATTGTTTCTTATTTCTAATCATTTGGGTGTGCATTTCTATAATTTGTTACCAAGCTTTAATTTTGACTATTTATTTTATTTAATATATTACTTTGAAAAAACTTAATATTTGAAATAGGTTATGTGTAAGTATATTACTAGTGACTAAAACTCCTTTAAAAAAAAAAATTGTTTATTAATGCATTTGATATAAACTCTATACGGTAAACATTCACAAGTATGTATAAATATTTATAATTAGCTATTTTGCGTCTTATTTCGAAGTTGTCCAATTTATAGTCCAAACAATTAATTTATGTCTACTTCTGGATTTTTTTAAGTTGCATATATAGAAAAGTATGAAAAGTATGACCCTGGAATTCCTAACACGGCCAATGTAAAGCTAGGCAAATCATCATTATTGTCCACATTTACTATAAATGTAAGAATAACCCATATGGTGGTGGGCGAGTGGTTGGTGGGCCATGGTTGTTTAGGTGAATTTTCCTCTACCCTGGCTTCGACTCCACTTGCTGTTATCAACATTATTGTGGGTAGTCTGTCAGTTGGGCTTTGGCCCAATTGGTTTACCTGGTAGTCGGAAATGCAGGCGGCCTGACTACCCTTGGCACTTAGTCGGAAGGCATTCCAAACTCGGGATAGGCAGAGTGGTAGCCCGAAGGGCCTAGTCGTTAACACGGTGGACCAGTCCACTACGTAGCACCTCGGTGCGTTCCTACCGGGGCCGACCGGATAGCCGATAGGGTTTATCAAAAAAAAAAATAATAATAATAAATAAATAAATGTAAGAATAAATTTGCTTAAAAATAAGCAAAAAAGTTTTTTTTTTTTTATTAGACCATATGCATCGGGCGAACACAGGCCATGTTCTTAGGATTATAAAAATTGAGAAAAATTGAATAGTGGGCTTAGGGCAGTGGTGTATCCTTGCGTGGGGTGTATCTATTTTAAAATACAGAAATAATGTAAAAGTTGTCTCTCTCTTCACACCCGGGTGTAAGTTTACACTCGGGTGTAAGCCACTCTATCTCTCTCTCTTTCTTTCTCTCTCTCTTTTCTCTCTCACTTTAAATTATAATAATAAAAAAAATCTTACACCCTTCTTTCACACTTACACCACTGCGGATGGTCTTAGATCAGAGAAGATCGTTCTTGCCCAAGAACAGTTTTTAGCCTTGTTCTTCGTTACACGTGGCACCTTTGTATTGGCTCTGAATTTTGGAAGACAAAATGTTTTCATTTTGGGAGAAAATCAGATTTTTCTCCTAGGGTTGTCGTCGTTTCTCTTTCGCGCGAAACCTAGCGTTCTCCGCTTAAGTCCGTTCCCATCTCCATCGCCGGCGATCATCGCCGTCGTTTCTGTTCCTCCTCACTCTTCTATTCTCTGCGTTCATTCTATCCTTCAAATTGCGTAAGCTTCTTCAAATTTTGCTCTTAGACCACTGATACTTTTAATTGTTCCCGATCTATTGTAGAATTCGTTTCACCTTAATTAGTTCGGAATCAGGATCTAATGGTTGTGTCGACTTGATCTCTGTGACGTAGATAACCTAATTTCATAGTCCTTGTTCTCATTCGTATTAAAAAAGTGTCCCTGATCTTTCTTTTGCAGTTCGTCCATTTCGAGTGATTTTGGTTTCATCATACAAGCCATGGATAAGTCAAGTGCTTTAGAGTATATCAACCAGATGTTCCCAACAGGTGATTGTTTACTTTAGCTAATAATGCTATGGTAAGTTTTTGTGGTTGGATTCTCTCTGTTTCCACTATGAAGTGTGTGAATATGTTTCTTAGCTTTTTAGAACTCATGTTTCAGGGTACAGCAACAGAGGCAGGTTTAACCAATTATCTTGATTCAGGGATTGCCTTAAATCTCTGGCGAAATACCTCCATAGGATCCTGTGGAATATAGCTCTTTTTGTTAACTTAAGTTTTTGTTGATCTCAGAAGAACACTGATCAATTTGATGTGTTTTAGGTACAATAGAAAGAAAGGATTTGGATATTTCAGAGAGCGCATCACAATGCCTTTTGGTGGATCCTTGGATGTTGTTTTTGTAGACACTGGCTCATTACAGCAGGTAGAATCAGTTTGTTTCTGTGAACTGAAGGAAATGATGTTATCCTTTACTTCTGATTTCAATGTTTCTCCTTTGTCTGATTGATTGAAACTGAAGGAAGTGCTCGGTGGAGCATTGAAGAGCTCAAGGATCAGTCAACTGAAAGAACTTACAAGGATTCTAAAAGCAGCAGATGGAGACTGGTAAGTAGAAAATACCGCAACAGGTTCTGTGTCATCAAATCTGCTCTCTGCTCTCAATCGGTCCATATAATCGGTCTCATGTGCTTGATACAGGCGTATTGTGGTTGGATCAGACCCGTTACTCGCCTATACTCTAACTAAGGAAGCAGAGGAAGCCAAGGGAATTGCAAGCACATTTGATCAAATCATGACCAAATATGGAGTGGTAAGACATTGAATATTCCAATCACACTGCCGAGAAATTTATACTATCAACTCATTAGGACAAGTCGTGGACACAAGATTAGTTTTTATGTTTTTATGTTTTTCAGTTATATCTTTAATATTTTTAATTTTACAAATAATTTTGTAAATTTATAAAAATCATTTAAAGTTTTTAATTATTAAATTATTAATTCTTATGATCTAAACATGTTCTACCAATAATCAATTACTTTACAAAAGATCTTAATTAAAGCTCTTACAATATTTTAATATTTTTTTTTCCCTAAGATCAAACTTCAAAAATGCACCCTTGCATATGCCCTTAAAGCCTCTTGGTTGATTACCTTAATCATATATTGACAAACAACTTGTAGAAAAAGTAATGAAATAAACAAAACAAATTCGATAATTTCTAAAACTTTAAACTCCCAATGAAAACATTATCTAGATCCAATGAAAAGTCCACTAAAGCCCAACATCAACCAACGGTATTTTCACTGAATTGACCATGTTAATTTAACACCACTCCTAAGAATTTTGTTAATTCAAAGAAAAAATTATCTTTATTACACAAAAAGTGCTAAATTAATAACGTAAATATTGGGCCAAAACAAATTAATAACGTAATTATTTAACTACACTTGCATCAACACACTTCTTGTTCCTACCAAAAAAAAAAAAACACACTTCTTGTATTCGCCGCAGACTATTGTGACAGGGCATGAGATAAAACTCTTAAGATTCTGAAATGTCTTCTCTTCCCCGAAAGGCGAAAACTCATGTAAAGAACACGCTGCATTGATTCCCTTATTTCAATCTTTGATTATGTGAACATGAACAATGTATAACACACCACATTCTCTATTTCCATTCTGAGAATAGAGAGACAAAGAATGCCTAAGAAAAAATAAAATGTCACTTCTATCCTCGTCTGGATTAGCACTTCTATATATGTCATATATCACAGTTTGTTGTCATGCCATCCGGAGAAGGAGCTTCACAGAACCTCACAGGTCACAACACCCGAAGATGAAGCGATCAAAACTTGTCACGTACTTCTAACACTAGTTTTTTTTAACGGAGTATGAGATATTGTGAACACGAACCAATCTGTAAGCAGTATACGTCATGATAAGTTTGAGAAAGCTGGAGCTATTTCGGATGTTCTCACCATCGCAGAGAACCCGCTTCCGAACGAGTTAATGAATTTATATATACAACATGATTCGGGTGACCACCTGGACCGGTTTTATTGGAAGACGTCGATAAATCATGAAGTCCTCCATTAAAACCGGTTCGGGTAGTGAGACCCGAATCATGCCGTAACAATTCAATAACCCATGCAGATGCCGGTTCTTTGTGACGTAGAGAACATGAGAAATCGCTCCGGCTTTCTCAAATTCATCATGTCGGTTACTGCTTACCAATGGATTCCTGTTAAAGATATGCCAAACTCTGATAAACTCACCCAGTTTTAGAAGTACGTAGCACGTTTTGACCGGTTCATCGGTTTTGTGCGGTTTTGTGAAACACTTTCTTTGGACGACATGATAACGAACTACAATATATAAAGATGAAAGGTCTGGGAGGTAGGAAATGAGAGATTTGGTTTTTAAGACACGAAATGATAGTTTGATGCAGACACGAAAAAATAAAATGTCACTTCTATCCTCGTCTGGATTAGCACTTCTATATATGTCATATATCACAGTTTGTTGTCATGCCATCCGGAGAAGGAGCTTCACAGAACCTCACAGGTCACAACACCCGAAGATGAAGCGATCAAAACTTGTCACGTACTTCTAACACTAGTTTTTTTTAACGGAGTATGAGATATTGTGAACACGAACCAATCTGTAAGCAGTATACGTCATGATAAGTTTGAGAAAGCTGGAGCTATTTCGGATGTTCTCACCATCGCAGAGAACCCGCTTCCGAACGAGTTAATGAATTTATATATACAACATGATTCGGGTGACCACCTGGACCGGTTTTATTGGAAGACGTCGATAAATCATGAAGTCCTCCATTAAAACCGGTTCGGGTAGTGAGACCCGAATCATGCCGTAACAATTCAATAACCCATGCA